CCTCTTCTGAGTCTTCTGCCACGTTTCTTATCAGATGACCAGAGTTCACGTAGGAGAGATGAACTCACCATCTCAGTCACCCTTCTCTACATCAGCAGCTTTACCAGCTCCTGGTGACTCGGTGTAACCTTCGCAATAACAGTACTGGGAAAGAAATGAATGCAGTCCTTCCCATTAGATTAGAGATTCCGGTAATTATTTAGATTGGGGAAAAATTGAAAGATCCCTTTGAAATAATTTGCAATATTTGTTTCTTCTTTTCTTCCTAACACTCTTTAACATTTGAGCAGAGGCTACCTTTACATACGTTTATTAGTAGAATAAAAGATCCATTCAGCCATGCATTAAACAACATCTAGAAAGAGTGCAACAGAATGCACTCTTCCCATTTTGTGCAACGTAACTGATGCTCACTACTGCTCATGCTTTTCTGTTTCCATTTTAATTCTTGCAGTAGAATACTGTTCTGTGCTGTAAAAACAGTTCTGAACATGATGTGATTAACCTTAGGGTCCCCCCAACCCCTCATCTCAAAGCCCCCTTGTACATGGCCTATGCTTTCTATGCATGTTCAACCATCTGATTTCCATATCATCCTGCTCAGCCTCACAAGCGGCTATTAGCATAACACAGCTTTAGTGTGACAGTGATTGAAGCCAGTGCTTGCTGAATGCAGTATCAAAGCATAATTTGCCAGAAATCAAATCTAATTTACTGTGTACTATTTAAATTCCTCAAAACCAAAGAAAAGTGTTTTCAATGGAAGTGTATTAGGTCTGTAGTCTTAATTGTTCTTTTTTCATATTTTTGGCTAGTCCCTTGGAATCCAGGCAATGTATTTCCTTTTAAAGTAATTGTTTTTTACTTTCAAATGTCAATTAAGCCAGAGTTTTTCCACTCTGTTTGTTTCAAGCCAGTTAATGTTACATCTGAAACAGTAAAGGGTAATAGTCTGATAGGCACAACCTTGGTTTGCAGCTTCATAACAGTTTTTTCAACAGATTCTTCTAATGATCTTAATGCTTAGCTTGAATTAAGCATTAAAGTACTGCATAACTTTAACAGCTGAAGCATATCAAGCTTGCTGTTATTTCTCTAACTGTATCTTTTAGAATGTTTTAAAAATTCACCTACTTCGAGAGAAGCAATAATGGTTTGAATTAAGTTTTGTCCAGTGTTTCACCAAAGATGGGCTTTGGGCAAGTCGTGATCTCCGTTAACCTTTTTGCAAAATTGGAGTAATAATATTTATCTAACTTTATAAACAACACCTATATAGGAAGACAAAGAGCCCAAGTGCTTATTCTGTCAAAGAAGCCTTGCTATATCTGAGCAGAGTCACATTCCACTCTCTTTTTAAATAGCTATACTTGACCAAGAATTACTCCTGCAATTATTAACTATTACTTTCAGGTTTCAACTTACATTATTCAATTAGAAATTGATAGATAAAACTGATGTGATGAAAATGTTGCTTAAATGCTGTAAACAATTTTTATCAGAGGCTGTCTATAAACAGAACTATACCTGAATATGACAGCAAACTGGAAGAAAATGGAGGTTTCCTTCATTATAGAACCCCATCTTAGAATAAATTTAAAAAACACATCCAAAGTTTTTTGAAAGAACATTTTCTATAGTATTAAATAATTTGGCTCAGGGAATCAGCTTTGTGCTCTGATTAACATAGTGACCAATAAAAGTCACTTCCTTGTGAGGTCAAGAGATTACATTTACATAAAAGCCCTTACTCATTTATTTATTTTTAATAGTGAATTTCTAGTAATTAAGACTGCAGAGAAAAACTAGAAAAGACACCCTAGTATAAACTAGTAGCTATGAGGCTGTGGATCTTCTGTTTGACTATTATGGCACGTGCTAGAGAGAACTTCGTTGTGTGACAGTAAGAGAACAGAACAACAGAGTCAATACACATTGTTTAGATTATCTGGACTGAGTTACAGTCTTAATTCCCTCTTCTTTTCCCTGTCTCTTTTTTTTTTCCAATAGAAAGGATACTTTTTCTGCTTGTAGAAAAGTGTGAGATATTCAAAGTTAGGGGCAGGTCATAAACTAGAAACTAGGTAGAAACTAAGATATTTGTTTCTCCTTGTTCCTTTAAAACGACCAAATTACCTTAATTTGGTCCTTGGAAAGTTTGCTACAGCGAATTAAGTTTTGTTACATCAGTTCAGTGCTTTGAATTACTGACTTACAGTACAGCCTTGTGTATGTGAGAATGCTTCAGATGAACCCTTAAACATACCTCCCTTGCATTTATTCAGTTACACGATTTGAAAGGTTGGCTCATGGAAATGCTGTGCCCTTCTTCCTTCTGTTGAGCTGTCTCAGAGCACATACTCTCAGTGCATCAAGCATGCCTACAAAGGGATCTTAGATATCAATCACAGAATCATAGAATATTTGGGGTTGGAAGGGACCTCTAGAGATCATCTAGTCCAACTCCCCTGCCAGAGCAGGATCCCCTAGGGCAGGTCACACAGGAACGCATCCGGGTGGGTTTTGAAAGTCTCCAGAGAAGGAGACTCCACAACCTCTCTGGGCAGCCTGTGCCAGTGCTCCATTACTCTCACAGTAAAGAAATTTCTACTCATGATCATGCTTAGGTATGATCTATGGGATGGTCTCCTGACACCAGGTTTTTAACATCACGATAGAAAGATTATGGTCTTGAGGCCACCCGTAACACAGCATAGACACAAGACTCGTGCATAGTTTCTGTCAAATGCAGATATAACACCTGAAGAGGTTAGAGGTTTTCTCCTTTCTGCTCTGCCTAAGTTTGCTATTGATTCTGTATTAATATCCTGAGCAATGAACTATGGCTGAGCAGCACTGAACTAATTCAGTGACCTTTATTAAGTGGATGGTCAGAACTGTAGAGATGTTAATGTAAGGCATGCCTACAGGAATGGAGGTTTTTAATTCACAACTTAAAGGTCTTTCTCACTTTTCCTTCCCATATGTTTGAATGAACAAACACGTGCTGATTACTGCATTACCGTTTTCTGACACCTGTAGAAATTGCATACATATCTGCTAGGTAAAATAAGGTGAGAGAATAACAAATAACTTGCTGCAGCCCAGCGCTTTAGGAACAGTACAGGATGAGTTCAGATCCTAGAGAATGTGTAGCAACACCAATACACTTAGAGAAATCTCAAAACATACAGATATGAACAGGCAGCGGCAGGGCACTCAGCCCTTCCCCTTTGCCCTTTCAGAAGACAAACAGCCACTGAGGCCCAGGTAAAAGATGGATACTTCTCTCTAGAGAGACCAAAATCTCTGTTTAGGAGTGTAAGGTAGAAGGAAGACTCCTCGTGTTGTCCTCGCCCTCTGCCTTCTAAATTAATGGTGATTCATGTTTATTAAGTGCTTTACAGTTCTTGTTTTGAGAGTGCATTATACCAGCGCTATTCAACTGGTGCTCTTTAGACTCCTGCTGATCTGTAAAGCCTTGGGAAGTACCTCATGAGATAACTGCAAAGTGTATTTCAAAAAAATCCAATCTGCATACATTTCTGTGCAGTTAGCAGATTTGTGTCTGTGCTGTCAGCAGGTGTAATCGGAAGCTGGATCTTGATTGCTCTTCGTGCCTAATTAAATAGTTTGTAATTATAATGGTGAAAATATGGTTTTCTAAAACACTTAAATTCTGTTTACCTAAAAGCTTAGGGTTCTTTAACCATCCCTCTCCAGAAACACCAAATCAGTAGTGGAATAGAAGAAAATGAATGTGGGAGGGTTTTTCCCTGTTTTGCCTCCTTCTTTAGCTTGCCCAAAAGTTAGCTTGTCTTTTGATAAGAATGTGTGGAGATACTATGTGCATTATAAAGATATGACAAATAGCATAAATCCAGTTCCAGTGAATTCCAATGCTGAACCAAGACTGGAGTGTTTTTATGTCATGCACAGAAAAGTTATTTGCTTTATGACATCTTACTAAGCATAGTTGCTGATGTCAAGCTTTTTTCTCTCAAATTCTCCAGCACGGATTCTTCCCCACTTCTGTACAATAACACATTTTCTCACCCCTCTTCCCACCAAGCATCAACTCTCAGTTCTCTTCAGTACTTGCACACAATTCAAAGTCCATCACTCTTTTAAAAATTTTTCACTTCTGACTTTGCTTCCTAGACCCCTGTATCTGAACACTGTTCATGCCACCTACTTGAAATATAGACAGTCCTGGTTCTTTTGTGTTTTAATTCCACCTTCTCCTTTTTTCTTTTCTTTGTCTCCTCCTGATCTCCTGGAATACCTGTTCCTTCTTACTCACTGCTCACTGCTGCCCACTAACTCTTCAGCTCTTTTTTATTTCTTGTCTTAACACAAGCTGAAATCTGGACTTCCAAACTTGTGTTGTAGCAACCATCCTTTTTACAGCAAGTCCTCTTTCCCACTCCATTCTTGCCTACACTACCCCTAAGTGAAGTGAGGAAGCTCTTGAGCTTCTGTCCTTCTGCTGTCATCCAGACCTTCTTCTCATTTCTCAACCATTTCTAAAAGCCTAGAGAGGCAGACTGAAAATGGCAGTCTGTATATCCTAATTCATACCTTGCAATACATGATAGGTCCAGCACAACAACAATCTCTGTGAAGCATTGAAGGTGTGAAGCACAGAAGTGCTGGTACCTGCCCCCAAAAAAGGCAGAATACATTCAGAGGCATCATCATAAACTGCTCCTCCTTAGCATTTATTCTCATCAGAATTTACTCTAGCATGAATGGTTGTAATGTTTCTTTCCTTTTTTTTATTTTTAATAACTGGGGATGTCACACACTGATGTTGCTGCTCTTTTTGTTGCTGTTGTTTTTGTTTATATATTAGTTCTGTCTATACTAATTAATGTTTCTGGTGTTATGTCCTCTGGCATAAAACAAGTGTCCATGATGTTGTCTCTTTCCTTCAATATTCCTCGTATTCTATTTGCAAAATATCCTAAATTTAGACCATGTTTTTTCTTGCATTGTAGCTCCCCCACAGTTTGTAGTGAGACCACGAGACCAGATTGTAGCCCAGGGTCGAACAGTGACTTTTCCTTGTGAAACTAAAGGCAATCCCCAGCCAGCTGTTTTCTGGCAGAAAGAAGGAAGCCAGGTAAGTTAGAAGAACCCTGTAAGTCTTTCAATTCTTTCAAAATAGTTACACTGTTAAATTTTTAAGAAAATTGTTTTTATTGCCTTTCACAGATTCTTTGAATCTTTCATGGGAATTTGTATTTTAAATATTCTCTACTGATATTTTTGTTGCTGTTTTTTCCAAAATATTAGTATTACGAAGAACTCAAAGGACATTTCTGGAACTTGTGCTAGGGGCTGTGTAAACAATATATATCTTAAAAACTTTTGGTTCTGAAGCCCCCCAACAAACAGGTGGGTGAGACGAACATAGTAGATAAAAAAGGTATGACTCAATTTTTAACTAATCAGAGGCAGTAATTACAGTTCACAACCTGTCTAGACATGATCAAGTAGATATGTATCTAGCAAGCTGATTTGCATTGGCATATTCTCATAGTGCATACAGATACAGATTTCGAATGTGCAGATGCTTTCTTCAGTAAAATTTTCTCAGGAAATTTTCAAATTTAGTTTTGGAAATATGTCCCTGATCCTTGTCGTCATTTTTGGAAAGCAAGATTTCTGATGTAGCAATCAATGTTGCTGTCAACCAATATAGATTATATAGCTTAATATTTAAATGTCGTGCCATAACTTCTTTTTTACTGCTGTTGCTGTATTGGCATGATGTTACAGCAGAAGTCAGGCCTTCTCATTTTCAACATACAGTTCATGTTAGCATGTTAAATTTGAACACTGTAAACCATGTGCCATATTCTCTTTTGCACCTGAGAAAAGATTAAAAGGGGTAGATGGATGCCCAAGGACAGTGTTTTCTGCTGCTCTCTGATGAAAGCTTTTATGGCTACATCTGTCTATGTGTCTATACTATGTACCATTCTCCACTGGCTATTAGTCTTTTCAGAGCCCTGTATTATGTTTTCCCATGCATCGATATGTGAGTTAACTCAAGTATCCACACTGTGCTGTGCAGTGCAGATGTGCCTTTCATCAGGTCTGGAGGCATTGCATGTATAAGCCCAGTTAAAACAGCAGATAAGAACTGAACCGCAGGTGTACTGCTCTGCCCCACCTGCTTCTGCTTCACCTTCTCTTGAGGTCAGATAACTGGTCTGGAATGACAGGACCAAGGCTGACAGCATTTTGTGCTCAGTTGCATTTGTGCCTTTTAAAGACACAACGTGCTTGCTTTCCGAGTGTAAGCTTGTATGAGTATCATCTTAATCTTCAGTGTGTTTCTTTTAGTAAATTATCTGGAGAACTTTAGATCTAGCCTTCATGGATAACATCCTGGAAAAGCACAGTATCGTGAGACTCACTAAGGTGAAAATTGTTCCAAAGGGAAAGTGGAATAGAATATTGAAATTAAAGTAGGAAGTACTGATGTGCTAGCAAACATTTCAAAACCCTTCCTTGTAGAGCATTTAAATAACATGGTAATGTTTATGTAAAGTGAGCTTATAGTGTCACACTTGAATCTAATAAAGTGGACATCCATCATGCTGTAATAAAGAGAAGAGCTTCTAATTAAAGTAGGACATCATTTGCAGGATTAAAGTCATTTAGTGTAATTGAAAAGTGTTAATACTCTATTTTATCCTCTTCCATTGGTATCACTTCAAGGGTAAAAACATTTTAAGGTGAAAATGCATCTTGTGTCTTTAATTGAATGTTATTACCTACTGATTGTACCATGTTGAAGCTGTTTAATTACAAACCTGGAAAATTAATTACCATATTGAGAAACACATCCCTGAGGGTTAGAATGGTCTTTTTTTGGTGAATAAATGCAACATGAAAATTGATACCTGTGTGGCTTATAATCAAACCTTGAAACATAGCTCAATGTGATTCACTACACCCTCGTGCTAATCTTAATTGAGCATCAGTGAAGTAACATAGGTTAGTGTTGCTGTCTCAATATACAACTTGCCAGATTTTGCAGTGAGGTGCCATAGGTGAGTTTCCACAAGTGGTATATGATCGTACAAATCTGGAGGGCAGTATTTTGGCAAAATTACGTGACTTTTCACCTTTACAGGACTAGCTATAAGTTGTTGCATGGCTTTACTCGAGGAAAATGCTTACTTCTGCTTTTACTCGAGGAACTGTTTGCAGCATCACTGTTGGCGTTCAGAGTAATGTTATGTGGTCATGTTAGCCCACTCCAGTAATTATAGGGCATTTTTCATTGTGAATCCATTTCTCAGTCCTGTTTCTCAGCACAACCAGCTGGGAGGGAGGGGTGCTGTTCCATCCTAATTCATTTTTTGTGCCAGCTTGCGCATAAACAGCTGGTCCTTTGTACCTGGTAGCCTTTTTCCCAGAGCCTAACAGCTGCTCGCCAATGAAGTGCACCAGGGCAGGGCATGTGTAACCTTTAGACTCTCTGGATTAAATTCTTCCTTGAGATAAATTCAGTGGTATTATATCAGGGATGAGTCTGGTTGCCCTGTTTGCAACCAGCATGCCACCATTGTGTCCAGATGAGCAGCTCAACAGCTAATTAAAACCAGTGACATTGTAAAACACTTAAAAGGGGGTTGTACTGTAATTTAGGGCAAGTTATAATTCATAGTTACCTAGTATTTGAAGGGAGGAGTCGTGAGACTGATGAGCTCCTCCTGATGTGTGGAATATTCACTGGTACATGGTACTTCTCCAGAACACACAAGCCCATGCTGAAGATAAAAATAAGCGTAGCTTTGCTTGTCTAATGCAGTGTTAAAGAGGATTCTGGATCTTTTTCCTCTTAAGAATTAGGAGCTTGATTGTTACACTGTCTTTTACATTGTGTTTCCTTTTACGTTTTGCATAAAGAGCCATACATCAATCTCAGCCATATAAAAATTCTCAGCTTTCTCAAAAAATTTAGTGGAGTTTTTGTAATACTCTCATTCAGTAGGTACCTGTGCAAGGCAGAGGTTATTCTGAAAGTTTCAAGGCAATTCAGAAAACAGCAGTTTTTTGAGACCTACTTAGCCCTGTAGCCTGAAATTGTTTCTGAATTTTCACACTTTTTTCTCATTGGATCTGACATTTCTTGGTGTGTATTGATTTTTAAGGAAAAATTTGCTGTGAAAAAATTCTTGAATATTGATTGACATTGAAAGGAGATAAGGGGGAAGACTCACCCTAGGTGACAAGTAGCCTAGTAGGTTAACACAATTACAAGGATACTTGGAGTGTCGCATCTTATTTAAAGTGTGTCACTCCTTTCATTGCCAAAACCAGGGATATGGTCTAAGTTTCACTTCAAAGCAGAATCTTTTAAAATCCAAGTTTGTTGCTTGTCAGTTCCAAATAATTTCTCATAAACCATTAAGGTCTACTGTAGAAGACACAGGTCTATGGAAAATTCTTGTAGTACTCTGCTCTGTACATTTAGATTTTCTCCCATATAGATTTTTCCCCATTTAGATTTTCTCCCATTTAGATTTTTCCCATATAGACAAACTTCCTGATAGAAACAATTGTATTTTTCGTAGAGGTTTGAGCTGACATAAAAGCCAGAACCTATTTTCCTGGAGTTGGAGTTGTTTAATTATTGCTTAATGTGTTCCCCTCTCTGTCTCATTGGACAGTGCTGTTGACCTTTCTGTTCACTTTACCTCCCTTTTCCTTTTTGTTTTCTATTCACATGAGGAGTTGTGCTAGATGGTGTAACTTTTTCCTTGAAAACACAGCCCTCACCACTAAAACCATTTCAGTCCTTTTTGGTATTACTGATTCATTCAGTCCTTCATCATATGCAATGACTACTATATCCATTCCAGTTATTCTTATTGACGTCTCTCTTTTCTCCAAACCAGCGCAAAGGCAAAAAAATGATTGTATTTTGTCCTAACTGATGTTTTATCCTACATGAAATTATTTTTTCTTTCTGGTGATTTCCTCATTAGATTTATACTCTTTCTCTTCACCCTCAAGGCTCCATGTTGCTTTTCTCCTTTGGTGAATCTGTTTCAATTTCCTTTTACTTCTCCTTTAATCTATCATGCTCTGCCACCTTCTTCTACTTTATGACCTGTTGGTGTCTTCCTCCCGGCTTTCCTTATGTACCGCTCTTACTTCCTCCTTTGCCCAGAATGCATTCACAGCCAAACAATAGAGCTGTTCTCCCTTAAGTCTCCAGGATTCAGTTCTTTCAGCTAGTTTTCTAATGTTTACTGTAGCATTGTGTCCTCCTGCTTTGATAGCCAACTAAGTATATTATTGCAATTACATTCAGAATGAAGATGATTATGTCACAAATACAAATCACTCAAGTGTGATTGTTGGAAAATTTCTCCTTGCCTATACCCCCAGCAAGAATGTACCCCTGTGTGCTGTCAAAGGACTGTTTCTAATTTAAACTGCAAGTTGCCCAAGGCAGGGAAAACTAGCTCTATGTGTTTGTAAAGTCATAACCACACTTACTTCTTCTTCTGGTTTATATATAGTACTTTTAAGGGAAAATCATTGTCTCTCTAGTTGAGGGAAAAGTAGTGCTTTTGTCTTTTGAATTGATGTGAGACGAATTCTCTTTGCAGAATCTACTCTTCCCAAACCAGCCTCTCCAACCCAACAGCAGGTATTCAGTGTCACCGACTGGAGACCTCACTATTACCAACATTCAGCGGTCTGACGCAGGTTACTACATTTGTCAAGCACTGACGGTTGCTGGAAGCATTTTAGCAAAGGCTCAGCTGGAGGTTACTGATGGTGAGCTATAGAAATTCTTACTTTTCTTTTTCCTGTCAAAAGTATTTTAAAAGCAATGTAAATAAAGGCATATGAGATCACATAATTCATACAACTAAACAGATAATTCATACAACTAAACAGATGTGTTTCTACACAAAATACAGTGCAGTTCTCTACGGTATCAAAAAGGCATTGAAGTCTAGTTTGTCTTTTGCTTGCTTTCTGGAGGTTCTTTAAAAAAGCAAACAAGGGACAAGCCAGCATAGAATAAGGCTTGTGAGAAAGCAAGCTGCTTACTTCACTAGAGCTAAGACAGAATTGCAAAAAAAAAACCATTACAAAGAATGAATAGTTGTGATTGCGGCAGTGAATTCGGGTGCAGAAAAATGAGACTCAATTCCCACAGATCTTCAGTATTATCTTAGCAGCTAGTTTGGGGATGTGTCCTTAGCTTGATTAAATCAACACAGTTGCTTTGAAGTTACTGGAGTACTGTTGGTTTAGAGCGGCTACAAAATGTAGTCCTTTAGTCCCTTGGTGAATAAGACAAGTTAGATGTAAAAAGAGCCATGAAAATACATAGATATAGAAAAGTTTTCAGGAAGGAAAAAGTACTGCATGATCTATCTTGATGCTTTCCGTCTCAAAATTTGGGGTTAGAAATTTATCCTGCCTTCAAGTTTATCTTACTCCATCTGCACACGTGAATCCTTTTCATGTGTCAGGGATCCTGTTGATATCACTCTTCCATCCCATTGTGGATAGAATGCAGACTGCATGCTTTAAAACAAGAGGATTTCTCTTATACCAGGAGATTGTGACATTCCCCGGCATCACTATTCCTTATCTTAACTGACTCATTAAATATCGTCTGACAGACTTTGATGAATTTTTGCCATTAAAACTGTTGTTATATGCAGAGGTCTACTTTTACTGTTCCCTTAGAGACCTGCCTGCGCCATGAAAGTTTGAAAAAATGTCTAATTCTGAATAATCTGGCTTTTCAGAAGAGCATATTCATCACAAGTGACAGGTAGAGAGATTCAGGCTCATGTTATAGAGGTTTGAGCATTAATTTGATGCCTTTTCTTTGTTTTCCAAAAGTTGTCTATATTTTTATGACAAGGGGAGATAATTTCTGCCTTATCCTTGCATCTTTACAAGCACATTGCTTTTCTATAAAGTAGTTTCTGGAGACTGAAGACTATCCTTCCCTTTGCAATCTCTTTAAGTCCTTTCTCTCATGGTCTGCGACAAAATGATGCCTTTTCATTCAATTCAAATTTAAATGTAGATGAAAAGGTCATTTAAAATTAATGGAAAGGCAATATTTTTTAATATCTGTCCATAGCACTGCCCGAGTCAGTGCCGTGACTGTGATTGGAATAAATAGAACACACAAACATTAGCTAAGAGGACATTGAGCTGTTAATGGTTGCACCTGCTGGTGCTGCACAGATTTACTGCACCAGAGGCTGAGTGGATCAAATCAGGTTCAAGGATATTAGTGATGAGAAATTCTTCGTTTTGACAGACAAAGCCTGTGGTCCATCTTTATCTGTTTCTTGGCCACAGAGGGAGGGAGTGGAATTCTAATTGACCTCTTTGGAATTTTCATTAGTTTATTTAAGAAGTCAATGGAAAGCTCACAAAAGTGTCTCTGCTAAAATGCAAACTCACATACAGTTAATTCTAATTAAAGGCAGTGTGCATTCCACATTGCTGGAGAAATTAGCTGGTGTCTCTGCTGCTCAAGGAGTACAAGGCCTGCATTCTTCAAATGCTTTCCAGAACCCACTGTCAGCATGATCATTATAAAAATAATACAAGGTCGCTTTATAGAAATACCATTTCATCCTTGAGTCAAAGGGCAAGTGAAGTCAGAAGAAAAGTGCCAAAACACTATTGTGGAACTGAGACCATATCAATAAATCTGCCATTAGAACACAGGTATTTTTTAATTTCTTTCAGTTACGAAGTTGACCATAAATGTCTAAATAACCTGTTTTAGTTGATGCCGAGCTGAAATTATGGACGCTAATGATCTTTATTAGTAGGGAAGTCTGAGGTGATGTGTTTTAAAATGTAATAAAAGAGAAAAACTGCATATACTACTTATGTACTTAAGCATTAGTCTTCTAGTTTTTGGCTGGTGATTTCAGTTTTACTTCATAGCCCAGAATTTTTCTGTTTGGTTAATGATTTAATAATAGTGGCGAGACATCTTTTTCATTTTGAACACATTTTTGTTTGATCCAGAGTAATTTAGATCCAATTGAAGTTCCAATACAGAATGAAAACATATGTCATGTGCAGAAAAACAAGTGCTTAATTACACCATATATAGCAGTCTTTCAGTTGTTACATTTTTGCACTTATAAGTCTTTACTGGAAATATTTTTAACTCAAGTGTTCACATGAGAAGAGATTACTAGCTGTGATGAAATGTGCTGAGTTGAGTGATAATTTTACTGATTATAGACTATGTTAAGAGTCTTCAGTGTATTTGAAATTCAAATCTTGTATTTTCTTGAAAGGCTATCATAAAATCCACTGTATAACGCACATCTGGAAAAGCAAAATCATTATTAAAATTGAGACAATCTTAGCAATCCTTTCAAACTCCAGAAGTGCATATGCAGCTCACAATGACAGATCATGCAAATAAGGCAAATGCTTCCATCTAACTATATCTGTGCTCCAGATAAAAAGAATAGTTTACAAGTAGTGATTTATTCCGTAAATTTATCTATCATTCACAGAATAGTTTGGAGAAGTTCTCAATTTCTCCTTATCTAGTCATTATTAATATTTATATAATATAAAATTTATCACTGCATGCTCAACTGTAGGATCAGCCTGTTTTGCCCAGTTACCTGGCAGTTGCTGTTTAGGGCAAGTGTTGGGATGAAGGAGCAAGCCCACTGTGGATTTTCCTGGCAACATAAGAATGAACTGTTTGGGGAGATTAATTTAATTAAAAAGATCGTGTTTCTGGTAAGCAAAAGGTTAGACCTTAGGATAATTCAGAACAGAATTAAAGGAAAAACAAAAAAGGGGGGGGGGTTGGCAGCATATCTCAACAGCTCCTTCACCACTGATTTGGAATAGGCAATTAAGGCATATTTCCCAAACTCCTCTGCAATTTTATTTTTTTTTACTCTAGGACTAGTGAATATTCTGGGATATGTCCCTCTCAGATCCTCCTTGAATAATTTAATATCACTCACAGTTTACTTGCCTACAAATCTGGCCACTATGATTTCTATCCCTCATCAAATGTGTATTACACAAGTGTATATTGCGCAAATGTATATTACTCCTGTGAAGCTCTTGCACAAAAAAGACAGAGGAAGAATTGATCTCTGCTTTTCCACCTCTCAGGGAACACTCTGCCCTATCGTAATAGTGTTCATCATGAGAATTTCCTTACTTTTGTCTAATTTTTACCATTAATTCACCAGGAAGACTTCTGAAATGTTGGTTGTGGAAGTGCCAAAATGAAGAACTCATTTTGTCATTCTTATTTTAATTTCCTGTTGTAGTTTCACCAAATTCCACTCAAATGTAAATATTATTTTAGTCAACCCAAATTACATTTGTAGTGAATAAACTGCTCATTAACAAATACAATTTGTTCTTTTCCAGTACTCTGCTTAAAATTTAAGCTGCATCTTATTACTAAAGGAATCTGATAGTTTTTCAGTTTCCAGAATATATAAATATGTCATTGCTGGCAAATATTTTCAAAACCACTTTTAAAAATTAAATCAATTCTGAAATCAACTTACCTTTTACTATGCAAATATGTTTTAGCCGCACAGCATGTTTTTATGGAATAGATATGAAAGCTTCCTGCTAGAAAAACAGTGCTAAACTTAAATAAAAAAAATAAAATGCTGTAAAAGAACCTAACAAAATGCCCAGCCTTTTTAGGGATATTTTTCATTACATCTCTGTTTTTCAGAATACTTAGGATCTATCTTTTTAAACCTCTATCTGAGTTTTGGATCCTTAATAACAAGGAGGCCTACGTAGTAGGAATACAAGCACATAAACACGTTTGAGAGAAGATTTACAAGTCAGAGTTGTGAAGACAATACAGTCATTCACAGATCAGTGGAAACCCTAAGTGTTCATTTAACCTTTAGCCTTAGTGTCATGGAAACCTGTAGTGGTCTTTCACCCATAACACCCTTGAAAATGAAGATTCCTTCTGGCCAGGAGACTTTCAATTACACTATTGATCAGAGCTATTTAAAGGATTATGAGCTCCTCATTTGGGCTGTAAAAAAACTAATTGCATGCCAAAGAACAATATCTCTAATGCAGTAGAGTTTGAAAATACCTACATTGCTACGCATATGAATGGCAATTAGGCACAGCAAATAACTACAGTGGAAGAGTTAGCAATTTAAGTAATTCTTTTTCCTTAATTTATAGCTACCTAGAAAACTGAGATTTGCTGTTTTACACTGAATCTAAAGGAAAACTTAAACAGATAGGTTTTTGTTTGAATTTACTCACGCTGCATGACAGTACCTATGGGCTGAGATCAATCTTTGTTTCACCAAATGACTGAACTGTTTAGTCATAAGGAACTTTCCACAAGATTAAAAAATTCATATCAAGGTGAAAATACATTTTCTCTTTTCTTGTAGTATAGTGTCATCTGTCCTGTCTCTGAGTTCAGTGAGTGATATTTCAGAATTTACAAAATAGCTTTCACCTTCTGGTGATAATAAATAATCTGTATTGGCTTCCTGTTTTCAGTGTCTGTTTCAGTAAATGTGATAAACTCACACTGCAGGTGCTACTAATACTAATGATTCTATCTTTTGTGCATTTCGTTTACAAAAGAAGGTAGTTAGTATTTTTGCAAGATTGCAATTTCAGAAGCAATTATTTTAGGTACAAAATGTACCAGTAACATCTCCCTAATATTTTTATTTATTAAATAGTGTAATGAAAGCACTTTGAATCTATCAAAGGTTCCAGAGGTTTGCATCTCAAAGAGCTCAAACACAACAGAAACCGTTTTGCTTCACAATAATTTATTTTCGCTTTATTGTTAGAGTCAGGTGTTGTGTACGTTCTGTAATGAACCAGATTCTCTACTAGGATAAATTATTCAAATTCAGTTGACATCAGTGGAGGCAGGCTAATATACACCAGTTTAGGAGCTGATCCTACCTGTTACAGTATTTAATATCAATCATGTTCAGTCTTTCAAAGATGTGAAACAACAGCAGTATGGCAGCTGAATATATAAATACGAATGAATTCTCAATTCTGTAATACTGATTTTATGGAATCATAGACTTGATTTTATTCGAGTATTTCACACTCATTTTGTATAAACACATTCTTTAGGAACAAAGAGTTATATTTTGCTGCTTAACAGATGGCTCAGAGAATAGGTTCAACAGCAGAATTATTTGTGAAAAATTGGTCTTTCAAGAAAAGAGAGCATGAGCATTTTACCTCATCTTTAAGATATCCCACTGGTCATGGAATAAGATTTATATGCAGTCATGCACTTGCTCAGTGGTTACAGAGTCCTCTAAGCAGTATTTCAAGCATGCAAATGTAAATTACTAGAGGAAAAAAATAAGAGAGTTCATGGCTTTAGAAGGCAACTAAATGGTTTGATAAGTAAGCTGTTAAATAGCTTGACTGAGTTTAAACTTTTCTCCACTGGAAGGAATGGTACAGTCATTTAGATCACTCAGATTAAGAAACTGGTTTGTATTATTATTAGGTATTTTTGCTGATGAAAACTTGCAAGCTGGGCATGAATGGGAGTATGTTTGGTACGTTACACTAGAATGACCATGTTGTTTAATTTGAACTTTAACAGATTTTCTCTTTTAGACCCTAAATCACGTAAGCAGTTAAGGACATTTCCATGTAACATTAAACATGCTTTAAGTGCTTTCCTAAATTGGAAAAAATAAGATAGGTACCTCAGTTCTTTATCAATCAAGGTCTTAATTTTAAACCTATTTTGATCAAATGAGTTTGATGATCTTTGCTAGCAGAATTTATGTATCTAAGTCTTACTTCAGTAGTGAAATAAAATTCTTCCAAAAATAATGATTTTAACCTTTTAGAGGCCAACTTAAACCAGTCTGTCCAAATTGTACTGTGTCAAGGAAAAGGGCTAACTGCAGCAGAGGGACGTTAAAGATGTGGATGCCAATGCCTGTGTCACTGTTTAGTCTTGACAGATCGGCCTCCACCCATCATCCTCCAGGGGCCAGTCAATCAGACACTGGCAGTGGATGGGACAGCCTTGCTGAAGTGCAAGGCAACCGGCGACCCCCTTCCTGTCATCAGCTGGTTAAAAGAAGGATTCACCTTCCTGGGCAGAGACTCTCGAACATCCATACAGGATCAGGGGACACTTCAGATTAAAACTCTTCGGGTGAGTAGTGACAACAAAACAAGTGCTACAAGTGGTACATAGTTAGTCCTGAGCTGTTGGTGTGTGCCTCAAATAGGTCCGCTGTCTTGCTCTCTGTTGTCTTCAAAATTAACTTAATTATCTGTTTTACTGGGAAATTCTCATCAAGTCCACATGCTATTTCATTCTTCAACATTGTGTAGGGGATAGGGGAAGGGAGGGCAGGGAGAAGAGCCACACTAGTATCAGGTAGTTCTATTAGAATTCCCTAAAAATAGAATTGATATTTAAAATCTTGCATATGTTGCAATAAAACAAGAGTTGGGGAATGCCAGACATGTATCCTTTTAGTTGGTCTTACCATGAAGTCATTGGCCTTTTGTCTCTGTTAAAACTTAGAACAGTTCATTTTTAATGCCTGATCATAATTTTCCAAGGAGTTATTGTGCTAGCAAGTGATTCTGGAGTTTGTCAGGGTTTGGCCATGCACTTTCTCCGTCAATGAGTCTTGGCAGTCTTGAGCTGGCTCATTTATTCCAATGTTACGCTTGCTGGAGATGTTCTATCAGACTGCAGATGGGAGACGACAACTAATGCTGTAACATACATAGTCCTATGCAGAAGGATTTCTATTCCAAATGAAATACTTACATTTTGATACATGAGATGATATTATATCTTAAAAGTACAAAGAAATTTAAAATATTCCAAATAGCAAAATGACAGATCTTGTTGATAAACATTGCATCCCTAATCTTTGTTTGGGCTTCTATTCTTTCCCTGTTCAAAGTTAAAAATACATTTTTGTTTCTGTGTGTGTGGAAAAGCATGTAGATGGAAAAATAATAAGGTAAATATAATTATATGTCAAGAAGTGAAAGACAATTTCAGAAACCATTTAATTTCATCAGCAGTAATTTCTGCACTTAGCTTTGCTATCCAAAAAAAGTCAATAAATGTCACTATCAAGGACAAGACATAAAGAGCAGTTTTTTCTGATACCAACTCGTCAGTGATCATAGATGAATTGTTAACTTCCTTGGAACAAAATGGAATTTATTAAAAAATTTATGCTAGCTTTCCTTGAGTAAACAATTTATCCTTCCTCCCTAGGCTGAAGGCAGGTTTAGGCCATGAAGGTTAATGCGTTTTTCCTGTAGAGCTGGATTAAAGAGTGCGCTTGAATAGTCAAGATTCCCCGGTAGTGTTAGAAAGCAGCAATTAAAGGTGGAAGCTTAGTGATTTCAAACAAACTTTCAGGCATCGATGATGGCTTCTGTGGAGTGTCCATGAGGCAGAAGCTCATGGGATACCTGTCTGCGTGCAGCTATGCAAACAGTGAAATTGGTTCTGAATCATGCCAGCGCATTAATCTCGCTGTTAGAGACACAAGATCTGTCAACGAAAGGGAAAAACATTGCTTGCAAGGGAAGAAGAAAATGGTATTAGTAGTGAGTGTGGTTTAGAAAGACATGGAGCTTTTATTGATCCTTAAGTGGCTCATTCGCTAGTAACCAATTTTTCTTAAAGGCCCAGAAAGACATTTTTTATGAACGCCTTAATTGCAGTAATGTGCACTGTTTGACTCAGACTGGAGAACAAAAAACACACACAGCCATAAACCCCAGATTTCTCCTCTGCTTTGCAATTGTTATGAATTAAATATGGATTTAAATCTGGAATGTTTAACTTTTCTCTCAGGACTACCTGAGCAAAGATTAGGAACACTTCCTAAGCAAAACGTCACCTCGAAATATGTCTAAGTACCTTTGTATACCCGAGTTTGAAACAATTTAGTATTTATCACTCACATATCCTCAGCCTTCTCCTCTCCTCACAAATAATAATCACCGTTGCAATCATAAAAGATTTCAAGATATGGGTAAAGACGAGCCACTACTGTTTAAACTGTTGAGACCGTCTTCTTATGTAACTCTCTTTCTGTGTATAAAACAAATTATTCAGGAGTCTGCAACAGTCACAGTGAACCATGGGCCACAGTCACAAACATGAACCTGAAGATTTTTCTCATGAGCCAATCTTTCCAGTTGCTTTGAGGAAGAAAACTAAAAGCTCGCATACGTCACTCAGTACCCTCTCAGGTCAACACTAACAGAAAACTCCATTGTGCTCCATAGAAATGTACCACACAAGATTAGACACCTGTATTAACTAAAGAATTAACTGTGTATTTTACTGGATAGCAAAGATTTTCCATTCACCTCCACTGTTGTTTTTTTCTGTAGCACAAAAATAGTATAAATAATTGAATTATCAATACACTATATCTGTATCTAATCAATCCACATTCTGGAAGTTAGATAATTCACCATAACTTGCAAGAGACAGCATATCTCCAGCTTGCTTTGTGTGTTGAGTTTGCCTTCTGAAAGTTACTCTATTGTGTATACCACATGCTTCATTGAGTATACCATACAACATCTGTCACGGTAGTACACAAATGAAGTTGAGAACCATAGCCTTGAGAAATAGTCGCTATTATCACATAATGAAGACATATATTTAATAAAAACTCAGAAGAAGCAAAATAAAACATTACTTCAGAATGCTATAAGGCTCTTCTGGAAATTCTGTCTCCTTTCACTAGTCTTTCTCATTTCATTAGCAATACCGCTATATTTTGAGTTTCTGAGCCATTGTCAGAGGAGTTTAATTATTGCTTGTATTCATGGGAAAAATATATCCTAAAGTGCAAGTTATGGTCATTCAGACAACTGAACTGGTATTAATCAGTTGCTTCCTGCCCTTAAGAATGGTACACTGCAGTTTCAGTGTATCTGAATAAAACACCAACAAAGTTGAAACATGAAAAAGTTAAAAATCAATTAAATTATATGTAAACAAGTAATCTAAAGAGCATCTCACTTATTTGCCTTGACATTGGTTTTAAGGAGTGAGGTATAAGCATTTGCTATAGTGCCAATGTGCATTTAGCAGAAAACCCGTTACAACCTTAAAGTCCCGTAAGGCTTCTTGGATGCAGTCCTGCTTCCGTCAAGTCATCTGATGGGGAATATAATTATTCTTCTTTATCACTAGAGTCAGCACTCTCCCTCTTATGCCTCTATCTCCATATTACCATGCTTTATACATCATGCAGAAAACCTGTTACAACCTTAAAGTCTTGGATGCAGTCCTGCTTCCGTCAAGTCATCTGATGGGGAATATAATTATTCTTCTTTATCACTAGAGTCAGCACTCTCCCTCTTATGCCTCTATCTCCATATTACCATGCTTTATACATCATGGTGGGAGGGCTCCTCTGTCTCTATAGTCTTCAGTAGTTCCTCTCTCAGAAATCTCTACTTTAAATTTAAGTAGGGAATTGCAAAACACTTGGCAACTTTTCCAGTAGAACAATTTATACAGCAATGAGATTAATATTGACTATATAATTCAAACCGGTTTCCCCAAATAAATTTGAAGTATATGAACTGACAAGGGAATGAGAATATTTTTATACAAATTATTTTTTTTCTGCTACCAAAATGCCTTGCAAACCTGAAATAAAATCCTATGTGAAACAGAAGAAAAGTCTGTGTAGAGAGAACCACTGTTAAGTGTCAGCGACCATATTTGTATGTGTGGTGGCCTATGTAGACATGACTTCATCTGTCGTAAGAGTATAAGATGAGGTAGCAGCATTCTTGGCACTGAAAACCGTACCTCTGGGTCATCATGGGATACTGAATAGCGACATTTTATCCTCTAAGAAGTTAATTGTTATATTGTTGCCTGTTTTCACCTGCATTTGTCATAAACAATATGAAGATTAGCATTGTCTAAAACATCCATTCTGTAGCACTCACATGCTGTACTTGTCCCATTAATGATACAAAAATCAGAATTACGAAAGTATTAGAGAAAAGTAATCTTATTACAGTTCTCTAAAAGTAAGCCACCATTAAATGATTGTTTGAAAACGTCTGGTGCCCTCTAGTCTGCTGTAAAATGTAGGCTAAGTCCTTCTTCCCACAAAAAAACTAGAAAAATTCAGAGTAAACTCAATCAGCTGATTCTAAAAGGTTGTTAAAACTGCTTTTAACTGTTTTTTATGTCTAGCTGTCCGATACTGGGACTTACACTTGTGTTGCTACAAGTTCCAGTGGGGAGACATCTTGGAGTGCTGTGCTGGAGGTGACAGGTAAGCAATGTCCAGAGGCTGTTCTTCAGTTGACATAAAATGAAAGTATAGACCATATTAGAGCACTTTGAATCAAATAATTCATTCTAGAAATTCTGGGATTGAGATGGAGAAATTTTAGGTGGGAATATCTTTAAATGCCCATTGATCCTGTAACAATTTGCATTTGTGTCCAGTGGCAGTGGTATGCTGTAACTCTCCAGGACAGGAGTATCAATAAAATGTGGATTTGTCCAGAAAACTGTTATGCCTTCACAGAGGCCTACTGAAGTCCAGTGTGCTCTCTGTGAGTACTGGAGTTGATCTGAACATAGGAACTTTCTCAGCCTTTTAGTAACTGAGGATTTTGGTATTTTGTGTAAATTTTAGCAAAGTTCTCTCTTTTCTCTTTTTTGATATATTTATGTATAACCTTTTGTGTTTTTTAAGGTTTTTTCTTTCAGTCTGTACCTAAAGAATGATAGATCTTCATCCAAAAAGATATGTGGTAATGCAATTGTTGACTTAGTTCTTTACAGATTAAGAACAATGGCTGTGCTCATTCTGCAGATTCTTCACATCTTTTCCTTTTAATCCTCTACTTCTATCAAATTTATACAATCAGGCATAAAAAGTAATTGTTTTCCATTTGCCCCTCACAGAATCTGGTGGAGCAACAGTCAGTAAAAATTATGATATAAATGACCTCCCTGGGCCACCATCCAAACCTCAGGTCACTGATGTTACTAAGAACAGTGTCACCCTGTCCTGGCAACCAGGGACCCCTGGAAGCCTACCAGCTAGTGCGTATATCATTGAGGCTTTTAGGTATGTGAATTATTCCACTTTCTATTTTTGCTTAAACCCTAGTACCAGCTGTTCTCCTGGTATTGTGGTGTTCTTTTGGACTCTACACATGTCTTCAGAAGTTCATTAAAAGACTCAACTCCTATGTCAGGCATTGATTCTTATTTTTTAAATAACTGTTTTTAATTTATCACTTTTTTCTAAGTGATTGATTAGAGGATCATCTAACTACTTCTTCAGGTCAACTGGAATTTAACAGGACATTACATTCATTATTTGTTACTTTTCTCTTAGCATTGATGTTCAGTAAATCTCCTGTGGGAATGCTGCATTTGGGCGAGTCTTATTTTGTCTATCGTATTGCAAATAATCTGAAAATAAATGGATAATCCTGAAGCCTGTCTTAATACTTTAATTCCTGTTCTTGTTAAAGCAGCACCTATTAAAAGTCAAGGCACTTTAAATTTCTATTTTTTACTGGTTCAGATAGATTAAAACATTCATCTGAAAAGGCTGGTGTTGATAATTTAGGATTTCATCCTTCGGCCTGAGGCTGAAGAGAATCCAGCTGCTCCCTTCCACACAGCAGCAATTAATACATGATACAAAAGAACTCCCGGCCTCCAGTTCAGCAATTTTGTTTAAGAGTGAGCCATACCTCTCACATGTATTGGCAATGCATACTTCAGCTTAAACATGTGCACATTCTTAAAGCAAATGACGAATAGTTTAGTTCATATTTTAATTAAAATTTGTGCAATAATTTGCCAAAATCATATGATCATACAAATTTAAGAAGTTATAGCAGTAATGTTTCATCCTACTATGTTGATATGAAACAAACATGGCTGTATGTGCAGATTGTTGATTTTGTTTTGGACCTTATCCTTTATGCATTACATGAATGAAACAATAGAAATAACATGAAACGTGGCTTTCCATTTTCTTTTTCCTTTTAATATATTTAAAGAATTTTTATATCAAAGCTGCATAACGAAACACAATAAAATAAAATTTTCTCTTTAAACTTTTGTGATATATCACCCTAGATAATCTTTAATGGCATCGCATCAATAGCTTTATCGAAAGCCATGTTTTTCTTTAAAAGCTCTTTTAAAAATCACATTCGAAATTTCTTCATACAGTGGATTGCAATCTAATTAGAATAATATCCAATGGAAAATATGGTGACAGAAGAAAAATTCATGTTCTTTCCTTCATTTGCAAGCATGTTTTGGGGAGATTTTTTTTGTAATTTAGAGAATGAATTTAGTTCAAGGAGAATGGTTTTCTTCCAATGACAATTTATTGACATAATTTACCTACTAGTATAGAAAATTAATCTTTTAACAGGATTTTCCTTTCAACAGAATTTTCCTTTCTAACATTGGCCTATTTGTCATTCAAATTTACTATGCAGCTTTCCACACTTTCCCTTTGCAGGTATTTATTTTAGAAAGATAACAAAAGATTTTGCTTCTGTTGAAAGGAGAAATATTTTTGATAGCGCTGTTATTTTTTTATCCCATATTGATGAGTTAAATGAAACAAATGTGTTTTTATTCTTAAATAAATCTTTTACTACTTTTCCCTATACTTAAACTTGGTGTAGAGTTACTTCTTTATTTTTCTCTGGCATTAGTCTATAATCTTCAACTTTCTTCTCATTGTAGTCAATCTGTGAGCAACAGTTGGCAAACGGTGGCCAACCATGTGAAGACCACTCTTTACACTGTCAGAGGACTGCGCCCCAATACAATCTACCTGTTTATGGTCAGAGCTATCAACTCACAGGGTCTGAGTGATCCCAGTCCTGTGTCAGATCCTGTCCGAACACAAGGTAAGAATAATTATTAAGGCTTACATGGTTGAGCTAAAATAGAAAAAAGGAACTGAGAGCTGACCAATACGTCAGTCTGGCCATTTGGTACTAAAACTTTGTCTGAAGGAATCGTGAATCGAGCTTAACCAATAATGATAAAAGTTAGTCCAATGTTTGCTCTATCTGTCTGGAGCTTAGGAGAGGTAGGACAGCTCTTTAATCCTTTGTGCATCGTAGACCTTGTGGTTTGCAGTTCACTTAGATTTGGTGCGTTCATAAATCTGGTGCAATATTGAGGCAGGGGATTCATGCAAATTAAGGCATCTGTATGTAAGAATATTTTGAAGTTATAGTGAGAGAAGTACGGGTCTTCTACTTACAGAAATTTTGGAATTCTTTGTGTTAATCCACTGCATAAACCAAGAGAGAAGACTGAAGTGAAATCCCTCATTTACAAGGTGGTGATGTAGTTGAGAGCTGTGATCCTCCATTGGTATTGAATTGACTATTGAATTCTGTCCGCATTACATCAATCTCTTCTTGCATATTGAAACAAATTTCTCTTCATAGCATGGGGTTTTTGTCTTTGACAACACATCACTTCAATACTTCATTCAAGAGTGTAGTTCTGTGTTAAACAGGTTGGAATACAGGAATTAGGTTTTTTGGAATCATAGTTTTTTGGAGTCCAAAGTAATTGTTTCTCTCACAGCTAATGTAGACTGAGATCCTCTGTCTCTGTTTATGGCATCCTGTATCAGCCTCCAGCATGTGACAGTGGTTTGGGTCCTTTGCTGGTCCTAGGTGGAGAGGGAGAAACGGGAGCAGAGTTGTATTTCTTTATCATGTAGCCATCACACCCAACCTCTCCTATCCCAGTCTATTCCTCGATAAATCACAGAATATGTCTTTAATAATTTTCCCCTCAAAACAGTAATAATTTCTGTAAAAGGAGAAGCAGGGCTGCATTCCAAAAAGCTGGAGTGAGTTGGGCAGGGATTTCATGGCTTGGCTATGCACAGAATATCAGAAGTTTTCTTCTCTTCCTTACTCTCCCATTATTATAGGGTGACTCATGCTTTCATTGCACCAGCCTTTTAGTCTGAATAACTTATCACTTAGTTAAAAAAACAACTTTGTTTGGCATTTAAGTGTCAAGTATAGACTTTTTATCTGACATACTGACAAGCAATTTGATTTCAGTGAAAACATGTCTTTTAATTAGCTACAGCATGTGTTGCAGCTTACATTTCCAGAAGCTGTTTAGCAGTCAAGCACCCGGAGACATGTACAGGATTTATAGCTCCTTTGCAAGCCTGCAGTTTAATAGAATTAAATCATAAAATCAATTGAAAATTAACATAATGTTTTGATGTGATTTCTAATTATGCCTGAATTCGATTCAGGCTCACAGAAGAAGCTGACACACAGTAGAAAGCCTATTCACAGTGGCCATAGAGAAAGAAAAAATCAGCCTTAACAGTACTAAATAATATTAATTTGCAACAGGTGTCTGTGGCAGCTTCAGTAGCTGAGCATTTAATTTCCTAGTATTAAGTATAGCAAATGCAAGTAATAGCTTTTTATGGATCTTTTCATCAGTGGACTACAAGTAGACAATCAGGCACTTCCAGAAGGTTTACCTTATATGGCTTACATCAAATAAGGACAGAGAAATCAGTAGTTACTCTAAGAACGTATTTGATTTCTTGTTTGGATTATGAACAGACCAGAACATATATTAAAAAACACTTTAAAGAAACTCTGTATAATCTTATCCCTGAAATTTAAATTACTAGCAACTAATAGTAAATTCACTGGAAGCTGTTGAAAGAGATATTAAAGTATGTAACCAATTTAATTTGAGAGACCTCTTAATTGTGATCAGAATATAGCTTCTTGAGCCAGTTTTGCTTGAATCATGATTTTATTACTTCAGTACTTGATGATACCCTTATAGACAGATAGCTTTTCCACCAAGTGCAAAAATTACAAGACATTACACTGTGACATCATATATGCATGTATTTCTAAGTGTATGTACCAGAAAACAGAATTCCACATGTACATCTTGATATCCATTTCTTACTCTTAGCCCATGTTATTCCCTTATTTGTGGATGTAAGTCTTATTAAAATGATGAAATGCAGTTCATACAAACGCACTGTGTAGAAATGTCTTTACTCCTGGGGGAGTATAGTTACTTTATTGGTTGTATATCTCAGGATAACTTAACCTAGGTGTAGGTATTTTGTACCAAGCATTATAGCTTTTTGTGGATAGCATCGTAAATTATCCTCTTGTAAACGAGTCTGAGTGGCTGTTTTATAGATTTATTTTATTATGGCTCCCTGTTTACTTGGTCACTTTGAGTAGGCTTTGCTAGACAGGCTCTTTCATTGGCATCCATGTTTGGATTATGTTCCCTTTGGAGATCCATGGAGCCATTTTCATTTGAATATCAGTAGAATCCTGTGGCGATATTGTTTATTGGTGCCTCAGAACCTATAACAATCCAGAATTATGAAGCTGGAGTATTGATGATCAAAACCTACTTTCTTTCAAAATCTGGAGGCACGTGATTCAAATCCAGTTTTTATATTTAAATGTTTCCTTGTTAAGAGCAATATCATTTCTCCTTAATAATATTTTGAATATAAAAAGAAATCACATGATATATACTCCCATATCTAAGATCATTACAGGGAGGAAAAAATCCTTTTATATATGTATTTTCTTCCAAGGACATGATGTTGATCCAAAAAGAGGGAAAATATCTTTGGCTAGTGAATCCTGCAGGAAAACCAAACAGAATTCACAGATGTCTATATAGACATTATCACAATGTATCAGAATATGATCTGCACAATATATTAGACTGTGATGTGCGCTTGTCTTTCAAATCCCCACTTCTGGAATAATTGCAAGCAAATTCCAGCAGAAATAACAAATATGTGTATTTCTAACTGGCATTATGCAATCCACATAGACAACTGACATAGGTAAGGGCATCCATAACTGTTGACCAAGAACAGCATTGCAAGATCCCTACAGGATCCATTAAAGGGCACTGGCTCCTAGAAAGTACCTTGATTTGTGTCTAAATTGGAGGGAAGGAACGTGCTGTGGTGATAAATTAGCTAGGAGATAGGTGTAAATGTACATTGTCATTTTGGTGCAATGTTACAGAACATTGTGATTTCTAGGAACTATCACTAAGAAGACACATTACGTATCTTCTCCATTGTCTGATGCATATTTGTATTTGCAGTTCTGTTTAGCAAAGGTAATACAATTTCATTAAGTTTAACACAATGGCCTAACCCAAATGTGGTCCCAGAAGACTAGGTACTAGGGCCACAGATGGTGCTGGAGATGGGGTCACAATTTTCCATAGATGTATGTTAAGTGACCTAATTCCTTCAGACGTTGACTAGAAGAAATAATTTCTCCCCCCACTTTGAAGGAATCTTTGATGTAATCTTGAAGAGGAAATATATGTGGTAGAGTATTTTTGTTGGCCTTTTATTAGGTCAGAAACAGTTTGACTTCATATAATTGAATCCTTTTTTTCATATTTACACTAGATTTCATTATCTATGTCTGTAAAGGGAAAATTTGCTTTGCAGAAGAAAATGCTACTTTTAGTGTTTGGTTTCTTGCGTGCATGGTATGTGAGATGGGGAAGCTTAGTGAAAGTTTGGAAACATATAATGACTTAATGTCATATATAATTTAAGAAAATTTTTAAAAAAACCCAACTTCATTTTCTTCAGTTCTACTAAACAGTTTGGTTCCAGACATGAGGACAACATTATTATTGTCTGAGTATTTTAGAACCAGTGATTATCGCATCTCTATCATCACGTAACCAGGTCTGAGAAAACTTTACCATTGAATTTGAGTACTTGTTTAAATTTCTTTATACATCATTATTTCCTAAGCAGCTAAAGGTGAAGAGTTTATTTGCATTACTTGATATACTTTGCAAGACCTTAGTACTGTATTGTTTTAAGAACATTACTATAAAGAGTGTTTAAATCATGTTTTTAAGCTAATCAGTAATTCTTACTAATGCCATTTATAACTCTTCTCACTAACATATGGTTTTCATGCCTGTGCTTGACCTGGCAGACATCAGCCCACCAGCACAAGGTGTGGATCACAGGCAAGTCCAGAAAGAACTGGGAGATGTCATTGTACGACTACATAATCCTGTTGTGCTGACACCCACGACAGTTCAAGTCACCTGGACGGTAAGGCTTTTGTTACTTACTATTACCTTAGTAGTACTTTAATTTTGCCTATTTATCCCTGCAGTTTTTTACTGCCATGAAAAGCTCTCGTCTTGACCCCAGTGTGAGTGCTCTGATAAACTATCCTTATACAGGCATATATATGTGGTAATGAAATGCACTTTTTATTCTCTCTTTCAAGTCAAGCAGGTTCAGAATCTTCAGTGTTCACCTCCTTCTCCTAGCATGGCAAGCACTGTGAGCTAGCTGTCTGACTAGAAAAATATAAAAATGAATATACTTGACACCATAATCTACAGGATAATTGATCTGTGGACTCATTACTCTGCATGTCAAAAAATAATCAAAGTTAAATATCAACATGAAATTACTGTATGAAAAAGAACTTTCTATTTCAAGGCATAGGGGACCTCTGACAATACCCTATTATTTGGTGACCGTAGAATGCAAAAATGTCTTTCTTATAGGGCACTTGTTGTGAAGTCAGAAGCATGTGGTCCCAATGACTGATCCACTGCATAGCATTTGGTTTTCTAGCATAAGCGTTACCCACAATCAGTGGATATCCTTTCGTTATAATAGACCAGAATCTTTTTGGCATTTCTATTTGAGGGATCAAACTACTGAGTAGAAATATCTGATATAGTGTTTGGCTTTCATAATGCTATATTTCCCTTCTTGGTGCTTGAAGGAGAGGATTTGTAACTCTAGAAGGAAGAGGAGAGAAGTTGTGCTGCACTGCACGTCACTGAAACAGTTGTATTATATAGGATAAGTCCTGCTAAAGGGAAATTCACAATACTCGGGGTTTTTCTTTTACATGTAATATTGCTAAGAGGTTAATGAGTGCGGGGGATTATACAACAGGAGATAAGAAGTATGATGCTAGATTGTGTATTATAAGGATTACTGTTGGTTTTGCACAACTGAGCCATATTTACAGGGGCTTATGCACCGTCCTTGTTCTGACAGATTTCAGTGGTCAGGGGGGCAGATTAGAATAGAGGAACCCATAAATTTGTCTTTCTTAGAAGATTATTTAGAAAATGTGTCATTGCATTTTGCCGGTGATATTGTCAACACACAGCCTGTCTTTCTGAAAATGCTCAGTTACATAACTCCAGGACAGGCTGACTAACCTGGGTAACAAACTTTTATGCCCAAGCACATATTTGCCCAAGCAGATGGGTCAGTAGTACAGAAGCTTTGGAAGTAGCAGCCAGTAATTGTAAACCTGGATCACATCCATGTAATGTTCTTTCAAGTCTTTTCTTGGATGTGACAGCTATCAGAAATACAATTTCATAGGCTCACCCTTGCCTTTGCATATATAAAAAGAGGAAGCCCCGATATACATAGAAAACAGTGGTATGCAATATGACCAATGTCATTATATTATAATGATATATATATGTATCTATGTGTGTGTGTATCTGCCTATCTGTCTATCTATCTATCTATTGATCAATCTTTCTATTTACCTATCTATTTAACTGAACAACTTACGAACTGAACAAGTAATGAGCGAAGAAAATATGGTAAGGTTAGGGATGCTTGGATAGCAGCTTATTGGGAAAATCCCTCACAGCAGTGACCCTATGCCACCTGACAAGCATACAGGCCTCTGTAGAGACATTTTGGAATTGCCCAAGGGAAGAAAGACACACAAAAAAGATCTCTGGAACAGCTAATTAGAAACTTTCAGCAACCAGAACAAAAGCAATTAGTTAACGATAGTCTCTAGGAAAAAAAGACACTCTATCCAGAGAATAAAGTTCACACTATTAATATAAAATGGTTAGATAGTGTAGCTATCATATAAAAGGACAGAAGTGCCATGAGAGTTGTAAGACCCTTAGTGCTGACTTTCTGCAATTCAAAAATTGAATACCAAGGAATGTCCTTGATTACTGAGTTTCTGACATCTTGACTCACAGCAAATTACCATTAGTTTCCCCCTTCTTTCTGAGTTTGTTTTGATTTTCCTTGTTCTTTTGTTTTTTAATTTGGAGTTTCGATTTTCAGAAATGGTTCTCTGCCACGGAGTTGCAATTTTAAGATATACACATGCGTACACACACATTTTGTCTGCTATAAAAGAAGGGCAGGCTTACAAAGTCAGTGTTAAAAAAGAATAGAGATGTCAGGAGTTAGGTTTTCACTGCCACTTAAATTTATTCCTCTTGTGCGTAAGTACTAAAGTGTAGCAGTAATTATCTGGTCACATACAGGATCTCTTCTTCATGGAGCTTTTCAACATTTCTTTATCTTCTTTATTCACTGTGTGTGCCAGGTCTTATTAAATTCATACCATTGAAACCTATCATTGAATTAAAAAATCATTAGTTTGTCTCACATGCTTGCTTATCTGTCACGCTCTCAACCATAACATTTGAGTGCTTCACAAATAATACTGACTTTAACATCACAATGATAAAAATGTGTCATTATCCTGACTTTACACATACAGAGGTGAGGTGCAGAGATATTTATTGCTGATGAGACTTAGGGAATCAGATATGCCCACTATTATCAAATGGCTAATTTTAAACCTTGGGCCTGATTTATTTTTACTTTTATCAGAACGTTTTGTATTGCACCATTTGTATTGCATCATTTGGTGTACTTCAAGCACTTTTTAGCTGACCTCAACTATAGTTCAGCACTTTGAACCTCACTGGGCATTAAATAGAGAGTTTCATTAGTGGCCAAATGTGAAAAGTTTCCTAGCATTTTAAAGGGTCCCTGTGGTGCAAGCAGGAATAAAAGTCAATTCTTCAGTACAGCAAAAGAGTAGTTGCTTTGAAATCCTGACTGCCTTCTAGGAGGCTACCGGCCTGAAGGGTAATTTATTTACCTCCACCTTTTAATTTGACATTGATTTTAAATGAATGTACTTCACTGGGACCTTCAAGGGTCAAGTCCTTTAGACAGTATTCCAGTGTATCATCACCTTTTGTCTTGTTCCTGTAGAACAGATACATATTAGTGCTCTGTGAATTTCTGCACAAGGTATTCTGCCCAGAGAACTGGTGTATGTGTTGATATGGGAGGAGGATATTCTTTATGATATTTTCCGGTAGAAATTTGCATTCTACAGAGCTTATTGCAAAATATCTTTAGGGTGCAGGTTAGCAGGTTTGCCTGAAAGGAGTTTATATTTGCAGCATAAGCGGCATTATGAGTTTCCTGCCACCTTTTCAACCATCTAATAGCCTAACCAAATGATCTGATAAGCTATCAGGCCCATCTCGTGTTCAGATGTGATATGTTCAGGTTTGAACATGCAGGGAAAATGAGTTTCCTCTTCTGCAGAAATGGAGAGCTGTTGTCAGTTTTGTGAATACCTCCTGCACTACGTATTTATTGTGAAAGAAGATGAGAAGGAACATGAAGGAGCAATTATGCTGGTAGGTTGCCCTAAAGTATAAGGTCAGTGCTTAGCAGAACCTACCTAGTAATTGCTCTCTTCTATCTTTTAAAGGAGCCATCTGCATTTTCTGCCATCTGTTTTTTGAAGGAGAAAGTGTAGCTTTAGATCCGCAACTGTTGCAGCTCTTTCGAGTGGATGTCGCTGCTGCTTGTACAAATTCAAGAGAGTTAAGAGTGTCACAGGAAGATTAGAAATATTCTCTGATCCCAGTATTCAGCGCAGAGTTCCTGCAATCTGTGTACTAAGGCTAACTACCCTGTATGAGGAAGTGGCAACCGTTTACAAAAAAAGAGAAAGGGGAGCACGTAGAAATGATTGCATTTTGTCATCAGATCATGGTGCCTGTTTCTGCGACTCTGCCTACATGTGTATGTGTACCAAACCTATAGAGCTGCTGGATGCTTAGCACAGCTGAATGCAGTTCTTTAATGCTAAGCATATTTTTAGTGGCCTGCTGTTGGCGTGACACATAATCCACATATAACAAATGAAGGGAACAGTGAAGTCACAGGCATTTTATTATATGTAAGACTGTGTGTGCATGTATATATATACATATACATGTATATGTGTATACATAAATATGCATGTACACACATAAATGTGTGTGTATGTATATGTGAAATATACCTCTCCGATACCTCAGAATTCTCTCTGGTTAATCCAAGAGTAATTTTTTACTCATCAGAAAACCCCAAACAAAACAAAAAATCCACCTTTCTCAGTAAGTGAAGTGCTTTCTGAGTAGTTTCCTAACATTTTGAGCATATAAAAGACCCTGTTCTTCAGACTAGCTTTCAGTGGACATGGGAGACAGCTTTGTGTCCTTTCCTTGATACTGAGTGCACTGTGTGTTTATAGATAGCATTTAAAAAGCCATAGTGGTTTTTTTGTATTAGTACCCTCTCAGACAACGGAATCACTGTTAGTAACCTGAAATTTAAGCGGATCATTCAGCCCTGTTGTAATCAAACTTCTAACTAAAAGCTCTATGAAACTTGTGTGAGCCCCAAATCAACCTAGTTTACAGCACCCACATACACGAGAACGTTGTTGTAGTACTGTGTTCTGTTTTCATACTCTTTGTATTGTTTAGTCTTTTAGGTTAGGAGCTTAGAAGTCTAGCAAGAAAAGAAGTGTGTGGATAATTTGTGTATTACATATATGTAAGTAGATAAGAAAGTGTAATTAGTATACTGTAGATGTGCTATAGGAGTCTGGTTCTCCTCAGTGAATTGGTGGGTGCATCTGTGTTTCTGCCATGCAGTACTGAACAATTTCCATACCATTTTGTGGCAACACACTGTTACTGTTAAGCCTGGTCAATTCTGAATTTTCAGATGTTCTCCACTAGGCAGCAGTCAGTAGAGCTTAAAAACATAGCAAAGGTAAAATGGAAAGTTTAAAGAAATTATGTCATCTTTCAGCGTAGCTTCTAACTCAGAAGTTAGGCAGCAATCAAACACAGTGTTTGATTATTAAACATCATAGCCTTATATTGTAATTTAGGTCGAGAACCTGTATTACAAAGTGCATGAAAGTGTTATTCATTCTGAATTTTACAGTAAACATGAGGGTCACAAAGTCTTTATGTGCGTAAAACATTTAGTTAATCAAAGTCAAACAAGGATAAAAACAATTTACTCTGATTTACAGACTCCCTTCATCTGGAAACAGCTGCTTAATGTTCTTCTTAAAAACACAGCTTGATTCTTTTGGTATTAACAAGCTATTATTGTGAGTTATATCCTCTTTCAGTGCATAAATTCACTTAAAGTGAACGCAAAGAAGTTTATAAAATGCAGGCTTAATGTTGTTGTAACATATGTTGCAAGGTTTTTAACAGTGACAGTTTTGATGAAAGACATTTCTGCTTTGCTCTCATAAATAAAGCTTTCTTCTTGCTTGCCCTGCTTTTTTATGTCTAAGAATCTGTGTCCCCTCTGAATGCCTCAATAAACTGTAACAAGATTATAGGAGAAGTGTAACAGAGTCTGGTTTGTGTTTTCAGCCTTAAATTCATTTATTCTTAAGAGAAATCAGACAAATGTATCTCTAAGTCTGAGCTAGCAAATTATCAAGAACAGAGAAGAAATCCTACTTGTTGAATTTTAGTTATAACCCAGAGATTTACTAAATAGCTAGTTGTGTAGTTTTGTTATTTGTGCTGTACTTTCTTTGATGCCTACAGAAGGAGCTCGGTTTGGTTTCATTTTATCCATCCAGTTGTTTTGACTGTCTTTTCAGGCAGAATTCAACGTAACATCATAACAGCTTGACTCATTGTTTTGTGCCTTTTTTCCCCTCAGGAGAAAAAATGCTTGCAACCTCTCGAAGATAAACTTCATTTTAAGTTTTTCTTTCAAATAAAAATCCTATATATAGCTATGTTAGGTTGTTGAGCTTCTTTGTATGGTCCAATCTTGAATTGTGCTTGCTTAGAAACAGAAAATATAAACCTAAACCACCATTCTGTGTCCGTCTGATGGCCTGGGAGCACCACAAGCCCAGGATGCAAAGAAACTGCTTAAACTGAACACAAGAAACACCACACGTCATTGGAAGTTGCTTTCTCTGCATCCGTCTTATGTTTATTTTACTGTTGTGAGCATCTCATGAAAAAATGAACTGTGAGCCAAGTAATGGACTAACTGAAAGCATGTAGGGTATCTTCAAAGACTTGTCCTTTTCTGAGAAGAATTTGTTTTTCTTTTCTTCTCATATTTCAGTACATCAGTAGCCAAGATGTGCTTAATAAGTTTACATGCAGTAAGCTTTAGGCCAAAGTTCTCTTTTCATGATGTGTTGCAGAGATGGGGCTTTGTTTTAAGATTTAAGGTGGTATTTGTCATGATATATAGAGCTGGAGAAAATAAAATAAGAAGAAATGTTCTATAACAAGTAATGTGAGAAAAATGTTCATTATAGACAATTAGTCAAGAGTGACTTACAAGAAGGTAGTTTGATTTTTAAATTCAGCATCTGAAACAACTGTTAGTTTTCCTCTTTTTTTAAATGAGGACAAAAGTATTCTGGGCAAATGTTTTGTTTTCTTTTTATACGGTTTTGAAACTTCAATATGTGCATTAACGTATTATTTAATGGCATTTCTAGGTTGACCGCCAATCCCAGTTTATTCAGGGCTACCGCGTAATGTATCGCCAGACATCTGGTCTGCCTTCTCCAGCTGTATGGCAGAATTTGGAGGTCAAAGTCCCAACTGAACGCAGTGCTGTACTCGTCAGCTTGAAAAAGGGCGTTACTTATGAAATTAAGGTTCGCCCTTACTTCAATGAATTCCAAGGAATGGACAGTGAATCAAAGTCTGCTCGCACCACAGAGGAAGGTTAGTAATATGGTCAGAAAAGCAACAGGCAACTAACACTGGAGGTAAAATCAAGAGTAACTGTTTTGGTTATTGTGTGTATGCATATCTTCAGCTCTACTTCTGTTTGTTAAATACAAGTTTGGCATTAGAATTCAATCTAATATTCAGTTTGGGGCTGTAAGTATTCCAAGAGAAAGCACCAGGTCAGTCCTATATTCTTCTGCATCCTTCTAATGTTCCAGTGGCTTTGGGCCTTTGAAAAAACGTGCACTGCAGCTGTATAGCCAGTGTTGCTGCAATAAAAGACTTTAGTCTGCACTTTGAAGATAAAACTAATAAATGAAACCTTTTGCAAATGAGTGTTTGGTATTAAGCACATCTTTCTGAATGGGTAATAATGTAGATGAACACTTTGGTTGGGAAATGGGGACTAATGAAGGACAGATATTTAACTAGGCTGAAGGAACTCCAGTCTCAAGGGCATGCCACTTTAATGTTTCTGTTAGCACGCTGCCCATGAAACTGCCCTAGTTTGTCCTTCAGAGGATTTCCTTAAGTACCTTTCAAGCCTCTGTGAGACATGCAAGATGCAGAAATAGTAAACAGTTTACACTACTGAAATGCACAAGCATTCATATCTGTAGCATTTAGTGTGGTATATAGTTTTACCAAAACATAGGCACTCAGGGACAGCTATATAATTGAAAAGTAAAGGGAGAAAGGCAAGGTGTAAGTAATTTTTATCTTTTTCTCTTAGAAATGTACAAAACCTCTGTCTTTCTACATATCTAATGCAATCTTTGCCTGGAGAATCTCTCCTGTAAAAGTAGAAGGATGATCAGAACAATGAGGGTTCTCTGTTACACTGATTTCTTTCAAAGCAAGGGAAATAAATACTGGTGAAGTTGCAAAATGCTGATATGGCCCTGATGGATTAATGAGTCCACTCTTTCCTTCCTGTTCAGGATGGATCTTAATCATTCTCAGTAGTCTCCTGAGGTTTAATTTAGTGCCCATTGCCAAGTACTTTTTAATTCAGGAACAGACTCGCTTATTACTTACTTTTCTCTTTGATTTGTTATGATTATTGATTATTGGCCAACAATAGCAAGACAGTGAATTTCATCATCCATAAAGTACGAATGGCAACCAAGTTATCTTTTGGATAAGTCAGTGACCTGCGACATGTAGAAAAGCATGTAGGAATATATTTTTCAAGTCCAATTTAGAATTTGGGACTTTTTCATTCTCATTTCTTTGCTGACTGTAAAGCATAGATCAGTCAGTAAAGAATATCTTTGTAGCAGTCTGAACAAAGCTTGTTTGGTTTGGTTTTCTTTTGTGTTGTTGTTTTTTTTTTTAAAAAAAAAAGATTGAGAAAACATCTTTCTAGAGGTGAAATTGCTTTTCTAGAGTTGAAATGTTGGATTTTGTCCCCTCACTAGCAGAATTTCTTCTTGTCCAATTTCAATTGATTTTTGCTGTTTATTTAGTTAATCTTAGTGTCTCTTGCTGAAGGTATATTAAGAACTACTGAAAAAGAGAGATTTTATACCATCTGTCTATTTCTATAAAATACTTGAGGAATGACATTTTCTTTTCTAAACCTTAGCTCCTAGCAGAGCCTGACAGGTAATTTCCTACTTTAAAGGCCACTTTGTTCTTGTGGAATAACTTTCCACATAGTGAAGATTTAAAAAACTTTTCCTGCCTACAGATATGTATAACTTGCAGCCTAGGATCCACTTTGTAGATTAATATAATCTTCAAGGAGTCTGTTTACAAATATCACTCTCAAAAAAACCATCAGCCTATAACATGTAGTATTATCACCAGACAAATATCAGCCCCTGTAAATAATTCTTCCTCCTTCTTGGGTGATAAAGTTAAGTGCTTCCATGAGAAAATTCAGACATTCAGTAGACGCCATTCTACAGATATTGTTAAATCCTCACATTATCTTTGTAATTATATTGGTGTTCATATATTTCAAAAATAGCGTCAACTAAATGTTTAATGACAGTGGTTTTCTTCTCTTCCAATGAGGAAAGTTGTAAGTCTATTTAAAGGTATCCCACTTGCTGTGTCACCTGTGATTCCATTTAAAAAATGAAGTTTTTTAGACTTGACTTTTTAAAAATGTCAGCTATAGTATTTTTAGAAAATAATTTGGAAGAGTGATATGCACATTTGAAGTTTTTTGGGACATCAAAGGAAATAGCACTGGTAAAGGTGAAGTACAACCAAAAAGTAGTGGCAGCTTTCTGCTGGATTGAATTTTACATGCAGTGTTACTTCTGAGGCCTATCTCCAAAAATCAATTTTGCTGCAGTTAGACTTTTCCTCTAGATCAGACATTTGTCACAATTCAGTATCCATCCATCTACTGCCTCTTTGGCCTTGTGAAGGTAACAAATAGAATTCTATTTGGCTGCATCTGGGAAGGATGAGCAGCGATTTGGGTTCTTTCATATCTGTAAGAAGAAGCTGAGCACTGGAATAATTGACCTGTCAAGAAGCAGGCAAGGTGTTCTCCACAAGCCAGCAGCAAGGGAAATGAGAAAACGGTTTTAAAAATGTTATTTTTCAATGTGGTCTATTTAATAACTGCAGCCATGTCAGACGGGTGGTTTAATTTATGTCATGGTGCCAGCTTACAGAGTGATACTATCAGAGAGAGGAAGTAGAACCGATATGTACATGTAGGTGTATAGACATACGAAAAGGAGCTAAATATTTTATAATTTTCACTATTTCTTTCACACTTGCTCTAAAGATAGATGATTTTCTCTTTTCAATTACATCTACTGTTTTAAGTCGCTTTTAGAATAACTTTGTGGGTAGTATTTGTTGCATATTGTTTGTTGCTACAAAAATATGACAGTTGGTAATGGAAGTCTTCTTAGTTTTTATCAGCTGCTGTCTGTCAATTCCTTCTTGCCTTAGTGCAACCCTTAAAATGGTTCTTTCAGCTGTATTCGTCAACTTCAATTTTAATTTTGCCTCAAGCTTACCATATATCCTCCAAAAAACCCAACACACCCTGGTAGAATATTAACCAGAATATTCATGCAGTTTGAATGCAAGGACAAATTAATACAGTATGTTCTTCTTTAAATGTTAGAGCTTAGTATTCATTTTACTCTTATTCTCCTCTCTCTCAATCTATGTTTTCAAGTATGTGTATATGACAAATTATATTTCTGAATGCCCTTTGTGTCTGAGGATGAAAGTAAATACATTTCAGCAAACCAAAAAAACCAAAAAAGTGTTATACAGTGTTAAGCTTTACCATTTTTATTCTTATTGTTTTCATATAAAATGTTACTCTAATTCACACATGCATTTATTCATGGTCTTGTTGTTATTGAATAACTTGGAGATTTTTAAAATGCTAATTTTTTTACTGTGTAGCAAATTATTTCACTTGCCATAAAATGCACAGTGCAGCTATTAACTTCACCAATTTTATGCTTTGCACGATTGCAAGGAGTAGCCAAAGGCCACCTTTCCATGCTTCACTTGAGCTGGCTAAGTTTCAAGTTGTCCACAGTATGGCTTCATTTCTTCCCTCCAGTACAATGTTCCTCTGCGTCATTCGAGGTCACAAGGACCCTCCCAAGAATTACTGGCTTTGCAGCTGAACCAGCATCTGAAAATTTAGTCAACACAATGTGCAGCCTCACAGGACAGTGTCATTTTTCCTCCAAGAATTTTTTTCTGATACAATCTTGTATGATCCCTCTGATACACTAGTTGTAAGTTGTGTGGTTCCTGCAGCAGGCTACCTCAGCCCTTCACGGTTATCAGGGTTAGGATTTGGGCACTCAGCTCCTTGAGCCTGTGGCAGGTCAATTGCTGAAGAGCTTCAGAAATGGGAACATAGCCAGTCTCAAAAATGCCACAGGGAACAATAAGGAAGTCTTAATTGACTTGGGAGACTTGGAAACTCCTGACATTGGTGGCTTTGTTTAGTTATGTTAAATTTGTAATACAAAGATGCCAGTGGCTCTTTGCTTTTCCAAGAGGCATGGTTCAAGGGTGTTCGTGCAGTCAGGAATACCTTACAGAGATAAAACCAGAGTCCTGTTGCCACAGAGCTTAGCAGTGGAGTCCTCTCTAGATAGGAATACTCTAGACCAAGGGACTGGAGTCAGGGAGCTGTGACACATGATGTGACGTGCCCAAAAGCAGAGGGCTATCTGAATTTAGAATTGGGACAGAGGGAGTAATAAATATTTTGTATTGCAGTGCAAGGTCCACTATAAGTCTTCAAAATCAGCTTCCATATTTCATATTAAATATTTTAAGATCACAGTAAGGCTGTATCAAATCCATGGACGAAAAATTCCATAAGGAGTTATTAAACGCAAAGACATTGCCCTGGAACAGAAAATCTCTAAGCCAAAGGCTTCTGTGAATTGGAAAATTCTCCTGGAGAGGTATCGCTATATGATCGCTTTATTAGTTTGCACTTACCTAGCCTCTTTCTGTTAGTTTTGTTGAAGACTGGCTAGATGGACCAGGAAAAATGCACTAGGTGGATCCTAGGACCAGTTCACTGCACTTATTATTAATAATTTTTTCCCCCTAGGTCCTATACCTTAATATAATACGCTCAGCTGTGGTGACTTAGCTTGCCACTGCAGTAGAGTTTCAACACTTGCCTAGAAGGAAGAGGGAAGGGGGGGCTGCAAGAAGTTTTAAGTGTCTGAGGAGGAACATGAGCCACAGAACTCTGCCGTGGCAGCCATAGCTGTGGTGGGAGAGCCGCCGCATCAAGATGCAGCAGAGGCTTACAGAGGGGACTGTTCTGTAGTGGAGCTGCTGCACCGCTTCCCAAACAACATGTCCTGAGCCAACAAAAGCACCCTGCTGCTGGTGTAGCTGCAAGTGGGGCTTTGCCAACACAGCCCTGATCATTAACAGCTATGATTTATTTTTTTTTCCCTCACTTCTAGCCAGCTTAGCAAGGCTGGCAAGCAATTGTCTTGCAGATATGGCCTTGACATGTGGTGACCAGCCAAACAGCTGTGAATGGTTGAACTGAAAAGAACTCTAAAGAAAAATTAATTTGCCTAGGGTAAAGAGGACATGAGTATATATCTGACCTAACTTAGCACCTCCCCTGTTTGCTTGTATTTGAAGTAAAGCCCTGAACGTTTTAATCCTTTTCCATCTATGAGTTGCAAGGTCTTATATTTAAACCTGTAAGGTAATGTCTTCCTAGAGAACAAATAAGAAACAAAAACAGATCTTTAAATATCTGCTGCTTACATTATTATTAGACCATGTGGAGAAAGAAGAATCAAAATGCTTTTGAGGCCAGGTGAAACAGCCTCACATTATGACTTAGTTGATATATCCATAGCTATCCATGCATATTATGAGAAACAAATGCAAGTATGAGAATAATTCCAATGCAAACTTAAGAAGTGCTAAATATAAATAAATGAGGACTGAGTTATATTGATTCTTCATTGCTACAAATTCCACATTGTCATTCAGTGCTATGCTTCTCGTCATGAAGACATTTTTCAAAATTGTCAGTGCCTAACAAAATGTGCATACCTAGGCCTGCAGGGAGTGTGAGTTTTGCATACTGTCGGCTTGCTCTTACACTGTTCCAGCAAAATTCGTGCTCTAGCAAATGGATTAATGTCTTGCTTCTGTTTGTTCCCTGTCCTTGGTGTAGCTCCAAGTGCCCCTCCTCAGTCTGTTACTGTCCTGACAGTTGGAAACCACAACAGCACAAGCATCAGCATCTCCTGGGATCCTCCTCCTCCAGATCACCAAAATGGAGTCATCCAGGAGTATAAGGTAGAGATGATGTCTAATGGGAGGGTTGTATGTTTAACAGCCTACTTGAATTACAGAACAGTAGTGCTGTTTATGGATCTAGATTCTGACAGCACTTCCTGCTGCGCTTATAATTGTATGAAGAAAGAAGGCTAACTGCTTATGGATTTTCTTAAATTGTTTTAAAGCAGTACTGTTACTTTAAAAGCAAAAATACCATGACCCGGAATGGAAGAGAGCTGTAATTGCCAACTAATTTACAGTGCTTCTCTTTGTTGCTTTTCCCTGTTGTGGAATGAGAAGAAGGTTTTTTTTCAATGTTAAGGGTTTCTGCACTCTCAAGATAGACAGTGAAGTTCCCATCTTAGAATGCCTTCAGTCTGGCAGAGAAGCTGGCAGGAAAGATACCTCTTCTTTGCCCTGCAAAAATACTAATCCTAACACTTCAAGGTCAAAGTCAAGGACTCCGGCTCTGGGAGAATACAAGACTTCTTCTGAGAACTATCTCTGTCAGGATTCACAACTTAAAGTGCTAAGTTGTTTACTCTAAGGAACAAGTTGAACATTGCTATATCCAGAGTTTGTTATACAACAGTTGCCTGCATTGGTTGTATTTTCTCTTTCTTTGTTGCTGTGACAGTTCAAAGTATCTGCTCTTCATATATGATAGAAAAAAATAATAAATTTTGTTGTAGTCTAGAATTCCCCACTAAGCTCTCTTTTGCACAAGTATATTTTCACAGCACGGAGAAAATGCAGTGTGTTACTGAGACTGGAGGACTGTGGAGAAAGTGATAGGGCAAGGTTCAGCATTGTTACAGGCTTGAAACCATGGAACACCCTGTTAGATAACTTTACTGTGCAAATTTTTTAATTTAAATGGTGCAGGTCAGCTTTCCTGACAGTCGCACAAAGGGTGGAAGTGGTGGATGGAGTTTATTTCGCAGAAAAAGATGTAAATTTTTCCCCTGATGTATCTTGAGGGAAAACAGCATCAGGAAGGGAGAAAGGGCTTGACTTTCATATCAACTACTGGTTCAACCCCTTCCAGCTTATCACTTGGTTAGAGAGATGCAGTAAGCACTTACAATATTTGTGTTTAGCATAGCACTTATTTTGTTTTGCTCTTTGTCACTATCAGGATTTATTAATCCCAGTATTTTATTGATCTCATTTTCATATCAATTAATAATTAGCTTTTGGCTTAATTAATCTTGATACTGACTCCAGTATAAATCAATATTAACCATCAAGGACTTATAGGCAAATAAGTAAAGCGCACTCCTAAACCACTAAATATGTAGATAGGAAACAAAGTGGGCTGATGGTTAATAAAAGCCACGTTCCAGGTGAATGCTCAGACCTCTAGGCTGTTTATAAAAATGATTGGAATCACTACTTATTACATCCCTTCTGTGTTAGATTAATTGGCTGCCTGATGAGTGAACTGGCTACTGTGAATGTAGTGCAGAGAGTCTAATACTTCCTTGAGTACAAAATGATCACTGAGGTTTCACAGTACATTATCTATCAAGTTGAATGTAGATCTGTTGATTCCACTTCAAGAATAAGAATGTCCATAAATTAATTTATGAGTTAAATGCATTTAATTAGGGGCATCTCATAGCTGCTGTAACCTAGGACCAGAACAGAAAAGGAGTGGAAAAATGAATGCAATAGTTTCTCACCCTAATGCATTCAGGCCTGCAGATATGGTCTACTCAAGCTTAGGAGAACAAGTGTTTCTTTTGCCTTCTAAATCTTCCTCAGTGTTTCACAACAAAAAGATACGGTGTGATAAAACACTGAGAAGGGTCAAAAATGAGGATAAAGTGAGCATTGCTTTTGCTTAGACACGTCAGTTGGTTGCCCACAGTGGTTCCACCAACAGTGCTTTCTTCTGCTATTATGTAGCGTACATGTGATATCTTTATCCATTGATTTTCTTGAGCAGTAGTAAATGCTTTCTTTAATAATACAGAAGCAATATATTCAGATAACATTAATGCAAATAATCTCTAAAAGGTCTTAGTTTTGAAACTTTTTGGGAAAAGCCAGTGGAAAAATCCAAAGGCAGTTGTCTGAAATCATAGACCATTTTCATCACAAAATGCCAGTTGAGATTATAGAGCGTTCCTTCTATTTAATTAGGGAGTAAGAGAGTCAAGAACTGATATCTGAATTCCTGAACAATGTAGGCAATCACAAAAGCAGTAGTAAAAAGTGAGTTTGTACTTATTCCATTTCAGATATTTTCAGCGTCCCTGTTGTGCAGTGAAAGGAAGTTGAAAAGAATTTTTTCTTCTTTAGTGCATTAAGAAGTGTTTAAACCTTTGCTTGTATTATTTGGTGTCTTTTTGTTATTCAGCTGGTAATTTTTAGGTAAGGTTTGGTGGTACTAAACAAGATTTCAATGAATGTTTAATGCCTCTTTTCTCTTGGGTGATTCTGATCTGTGCCTTTAAGTAGTGTAACCACAGAGTTTGCACTCCATGGAGAGCCATAGTCCTGAGAGGTATTTGCAAGCAGCCTTTGCAACTGGTTTGGTAATTCATGATATGCTAATCAGGTATAGCTTGCTGAGCTAAACACTTCCAACTCCAGCTACTCCTGGACAGTAACACTGTTAAGAAGTCCAGAATAAGTGATTGTCATGCAATACATTGATATGTCATATCTATGCACAATTGTTTGTGAGTATGAAGAATTTCATATTTTTTAACACATCAACTTTTGTCCCAGATCTGGTGCCTAGGTAATGAGACTCGATTTCATATCAACAAAACAGTAGATGCAGCCATTCGGTCTGTAGTAATAGGTGGCCTATATCCAGGTATTCAGTACCGCGTGGAAGTTGCTGCAAGCACCAGTGCAGGTGTGGGAGTAAAAAGTGAGCCACAACCCATAATAATTGGTAAGTGATTGTCTGTTTTGTTGTTTTGTTTTGCCTGTTTTGACTTTCAGATATGTTTTCATAAACCACTTCTGGAAGCATAAAAATCCGTGGAGCAAAAGACAAGATTTGAATAGAGCTAGCTAGTTAGCTGGCATTGTGTCTTCTCTTTGTGTGGAGTTCTTGCAACCAATGGAGGGAAATGTGTTCCCAAGACATATGAGAAAATGCAAGTTGTCTAGTGAAACTGATTTATATTTTTTTAAAAATGAATTTACCACTTTTGCAGGTTGATGGATTTATGGAACTAACAGCTCAAGCTCCCTTTTCCTCCTGTTCAGATGACTGTAATATTGCTTTATTGTACCATTGATGCCTAAGGCACTGTTTACAGTTGATTTTCTGAACAATTGTCAGTGTTTCTCAGATATCCCAGACTTCCTTTGTCAAAGAATAAGTGACCTATAGTCCAAGTAGGGAGCAAAAGTAGTATTACCATCCTTGCCTTTGACTGATTCTTAGTGGCAGTTTCTATGCTGAATTAATTTCCTGATGTGAGGGAAACACAGATCCTGTTTCTCCTGAAATTCTTCTCAAGTATAAAATATAAAGGTGTGAACAATGTGGGAAGGGTAAGAATAGGAGAAGTAACCATATTTAGCAAAACCTAATTGAGTTGTGTAAAGCAGCACCTCTTCCGACTGTGTAGTATGGAGTTTTGTTGCTTTTATCTGTGTGACCTTTAGAAAAAGCTGTCCCCTAAGCATTGCTTTAATGTTTAATGATATTCAGGTTCTCTGTGCATCAAAAAGAACATTGGAGTGTGTCAGCTTTGAGTATGTTGTCACTGGAGAGGAAAATATGAGTGGAGGTGAAGGAAGCATTGGTTTTAGAACAAGTGAGCCACAGAAACACCAACAATGTGTAAATAACTGATGTTTTGAGACTAGTATGTCACTGCATTTACTTTTCACAGGACTTTGTTTTCTCATTTCACTAGGGAATCCATCTAGCCAGGCACTAAACATACTGAGTTTGCTCCAGCAAAACACTTCAGTGTGTTGCATTTTACATACGTGAGTAGCCTTCTGTCACTTAACGTGTTGTGTGTTAAACTTGCACCAAAGTGATTTGCTGGATGATTCCCAGAATACTCAGCCGTGCATCTGGGTACAGCCTTTCATCCTGACATTTTCCTTGCTAAAAAATGACTAGTATAATCAAGAATTAAATGTGGAGAGCTGTGTACTGTTGCATGAAGGAGGCAGGGGATGTTAGAATGCAAAGTACAAAAGAAAGAAGAAAGTTATTTGGCATTTGAAAACTTAATTTTCCATCATTAAACTTACAGTGATATTTACTTGTTCCTTAAAGGATCCCAGAATATCTGCTTCAACAAGTTTGTCAGGTGGCATCTCTGCACATTCAAGAGTTTGTTGCATAAAAATTAAAGGAATGTGTTTTCTGGTTGAGTTTTGTTTCTGTTCTCACTTCTGTTTTCCCTTTTGGGAGCTCAAAGCTGGATGTGTTTTTTACTTGTATGGTCTATATCTCTCTTTTCTTTAGGTCCCATTTTTCTGTTGATTATGAACTGCTGGCAGTTATTTCTCAGACTAAAAATTTGCTTGATCAAGATAACAGTGTTTAAGTGATACCATTTCTGCAAAAATTGAGTTGGTGCCACTTGATGTTTAACTGACAATCAGGAACGTAAAATAAGAAACTGAATTTTAAAAGTAAATTTTAAAAAACAAAAAATGAGCTAATGAATGAACCTCAAAACATCATAATGAATGGGAAAACATTATTAATTGTATTTTAATGGTGTCCTGTATAGTCTGATGCTTAGCTTGCAAACAGAGTGAACTGCAGAAACGCTGAGTTACGGAGAGAGCAGGTCAGTGATGCAGAAAAGTTAGGCCGTGTTCCTAAACAGTACGACTTTCATTGTCCTGAAATGCAAAGGCCAGTGTATAAAATACAGACTATTGTACTTAAATATAGGATATGTTCTTCTAAGAACTTTTTTACTGCAAATAACTGATTTTTGTGGTGGATAATCAATTACTGACTGCCCAGACTATTTCTACATAACAATCCAGAAAGTAAATCCAGGAGAATATGGAACAGTACCAAGTATGTTATTTCTTTAGTTAGAAATTGTGTCACTGTGAGAGGAATCATGTGCCCATACATCAGGCAGAATGTTTAAAAATTTTATGGAAGACTCAAAGAGAATCAAGAATAAAAATTTTATGATCACTATTGATATGCTAAAAAATTTTACCTGGAGAACTATAAAAAAAAAATCAGAGATAACAGCAATGTTGGTAAATGATATAGCTATTATTTCTCTTCGTCTGTTGGCCTGTTCACTCTTACATTCCATCATTGGCATAACAATATGAGGAACAGCTGCAAACTTTCACAGTAATAGGTACAATTGAATCTGATGTGTCTAATTAATTTTTGGTCCGACAAATTAGTTTTGTTCTTCATTACTCTCCAATGGGAGGAAGACATTATATTTCATTATGGTTTTGTCTTCAGAACAATGGAGCGTTACAGGTCACACACTTCCCTTGTCTATGTTCCAATTAGTTGAACTGACAGCATTGTTACAGAAACACCTGCAGTATATGAAATAGTACACTGGCACCTTGGATGGCATATTTATTACTTCTGCCTAAATATTATATAAAGAAAGACAAAATTAATGCTCTTTGTTTCCCCAGACCTCAATTATTATATTAATTTTATCAAACATCAGTGGGTAACATTCATCTTTATCCATTTATTTTTCAGTCATCAAATTCACAAAGCATATGTTATTTTGACATTTAAATGAGTTATTTTGCAGTTGTAATTGCTAGGCACGGAAGGGTAAGAGCAAACAGACAGACGGCAAACTTTAGAAGGTAATTTGAAGACATATTGCACCTTCCCCTAGAAGAGGAAAGTGTAACTTCCACTGACAGCCCTTCCCAGGCTCTCTGCACTTTGCTCTCACATCCTCCATTCTCAGAAGACTATTGTCTGAATTTAGAGACAAAATGGGATCTTCAGGTTTTCAGAGGCTTTGTAGGAAGCAGTTGTTCCTTTCTTGGGTCTGGGGGTGTCCAAAGCCAGTAAAGAGCTTTCCTGCGCCAGTGAAGAGCTTTCCTGCCCGCTCTTCTCCATGGCAGTGCCTCTGAAGCATCGAAGGCATTGCCTGTTTCCTCACCATCCTGCTGCTTTTACCTCTCCTCCAAAGGGCAGAGAAATTAACAGAAAGTTAATGACAATTAGAACAACATCAACTCTCATGCTGATTTCTACTAGAAAATCAATTTTGTGCCTGGAAGAGCATGCCGCAGAGTGCCTCTTTCTATTAGTTTTACTCTCAGCACTTCCTCTTTAAGCAATGTGGTGCACCTATGGATACGTTCCATGGACAGAAAGAAAGGGGAAAAATCCACTAAAGGAGCCACTGTTGCCTCCCTTCGTTTCCTTATTACAAGTGCTCACTGTACATCACGTGCTGCATCAAATCTGGGAAACTTTGGGCATTTAACAAGACAAAATAAGAAAGTAAGGGGAAGGACAGCTGCAGCCATCAGGCCCTGACATCAGAAAAGCTTACTAGTTTGGCAGGTTTAGACTGATACACGACACCAGTACTAGTGTACTGCCTATTGATACATTAGGAGGTGTAGTCTGCCAGCATCTTTCTGTGGGTCCTATTTTGTTTGCTTGAAGCCTGTTTTGTTTCTTGCACAGAACTACTGAGAGCAAGCCAAGCTCTAGCACAGTTTCACCAGTCTGCTTTGCGAAAGCAGGCGGTCACCATTACTAAATATTGACATGGTGCTGAAAGAGAGAAAGCTTTAATAAAATCACCGAGACGATCAACAGGGTGATAGTGATGTGAAGCGGTGCATCGTGTTTCTTTCCGAGTAACTCAGTGTGGCTCTGAGCACAAGCTCAGCACCTGAAGCTGCGTCTTGGCTGGGGCGAGGGAGAGGCTGGCTCAGCCCCACGGGTGCTCCGGGAGGGATCCTCATTCACAGCTTGACTGGTGCAAGCTCCGAGTCTCCTGCAAAGAGGTGTCGGTGGAAATAAAATTGGAAGTGTCAGACTTCTGATGTTTGCTTTAGCTTGCTTCAGGCTGAAGCCAGTGTGTTGACGCAGGGGCTGTTGTGTTCTCTAAAGTGAGTGGTAACTTCAGCCGTTGATGAATTATAGAGGAAGAATATGTACACTTTCAAAGCAAGGCATAATGCTACAACACTTTTAATAATTTCCTCTGAATGACCATTTTGGTGTTTTACTGCCATATTCTACTACCTTTGTGTGCAATAGACTCTCGTAATCGAGAATCATAGTATTTGCATCTTTTGTGTCTCAGCAGAGTAGCTCCTTTTGCAGCTCTTCAGCATGCATGCAGGCATCTGATAATATTGCATAAACATTTCAAGGACTGATCTATAGAAATGCTTTTACTGGAAATGATGGATAATTCTTTCACCAGTTTCAATACTGCAGATGTGGGCAGTTTATATCAAATGCGCGTACAATCTATATTCATATATTTTTGCAGAAAAATATGTTCCGCATTTCCTAATTTTAAAACTAACTGGTTTTGACAAGGGAAGGTTTGAAGTAGAAAAGTGCTGGCCCTAGAACTATATGCTTTAGCATTCCCTGAAGTTCCATTCGCATTTCTTATAAGTATTTGTTTTCAAGCCGTACACCAAGCTTTTACTCTTTGAAAAGTTCTGGTTTAGAGAAAGGGGGGGAGAGGGAAACAATGGGAGCACCTACTGAAATTTACTGTTTTCTAATGTAAAATACAGTTTAAGATCCTATATAGGGATTTTTGATGCACATCACTTTACGTGATATCCCATGTCAGAATTACTTCTTGCAGGCTGATGTTAAGAATTTTTCATGTCTATTCTAAATGAAGAAAATATCATCTGTTGCTGTGATTGTTTAGAGCTTAGAGTTAGCTATGCAATGTCCTGCTTTGTGTCCAAGCTGGTGTACTTGGCATTTGTGTGTACTTGGCATTTGTGTGGATTATTTCCCCATGAAACAATTGCTGAAAAATACCCCAGCTGAAAATACATATATTTTATTTTTTAAGTTTGGGAACTCTAGCAGTGGCAAAAACCAATGAGCTAAGTAAGAATTTTTGACTTGTTGACAATGAGAGAAGGAACTGTCTTTTGATATTGTAGTGTATTTTGAATTTGGATTTCTCATTTCGAAATGAGAAATGCAATGTATTTATTGATTGCATGATTTATTTTTTATTGGTTTCCCATGATCCATTTTCTCATTATTGAATTCTGCCTATAATTATGTAAAAACAAACAAAAAAACATGTATATTGTTAAAAAAAGGCTTTGGATTGCCATCTGTTAGGTTGTTTGTGAGGGTGCTGTAGAGCTATCTTTTCAAATATAAGTTTGCAAAATTGCAATGCACTATTGATTTACTTTCTAGAAACATTGTTTTTCAGGTGTCCGTTGGTACACATTAAAGCTCACCTACTGTGGATAATTCTTTTGAGGTGCATTACCGGTGTTTTTTCAATTATCCTTTGCAGTACTTGTTTCTTGTTTGTATCTCAGCGTTGACGATAAATTTCTGTTGTGTTTCTTTTGTGCAGGAGGTCGAAACGAAGTTGTCATAACTGAAAATAACAACAGCATAACTGAGCAAATCACTGATGTCGTCAAACAGCCTGCCTTTATAGCCGGCATCGGTGGTGCATGCTGGGTAATTCTGATGGGTTTCAGCATCTGGCTTTACTGGCGCAGGAAGAAGAGGAAGGGGCTCAGCAATTATGCTGGTAAGAACGGTAACTATTTATTACCATCTCATCAGGTTCTAAGAGGAAGAGAATAGATGCTGTTAAACCTACATAAAAACCATGTTGAACTTACAGCAAAGGTGACCTGGGTTAATTTTGTATGCTTGTTTTAAATGTATGCTGTGAAAATGCTGGTGTATGAGAAGCTTTAAATGCATTGCTCGGTACCACATTTCATCATTATCATAAGGCAGTCTTTATTTTTGCATCTCCAGCACATCTAGCATTTAAAAAGTACAAAAAGGTTTAACCGCACCTCTTGCTTCTTGCTCAGAAGGCCCTCTGTTAGTGGTTTGGCTCCATTTATTTGCTCAGGTGCTCAAGTGACCCTCAAAGGGAAGTTTAGCAAGAGTATTTGGTCGCTGTCTTTTTCATTCCCATGCATTTCCATGTCTCTGAAGCCATGTGCATGGGAAATGAATGTATCTATAGTGGGAGGAGAGAATGATTAGACAGAGAAAGTGTGGTCAAAATTTACCTATGACAGAATCCAGAAAAGGTTTTGCCTTGGAGGTAGAACACCTTGCAGTGCTCTCACAGTGTGATCCCACTTGCACCAAATGTGTCACTCCAGTTACAAATTAGCTGTTGAAAACTACATTAGGGGGAATAAATACATTTTCCAAATGAAAATATTTTCTTTCTCCTTCAACTTTTTTGTTATGTATATTAGTGTGTACTTCAGGATTTTTATGGATTTTTAAGAAATCAGGTGAATAATCATGAAACTGGGTCACTCTGAAGCCTAATTTAACACACAAAAAAGCTGTTCTTTAAAGATTTGTGTGGGTTCTTTTGTAGTGCTTATTAACATTTAAAAAGAGAAAACATTTCCTTTTTGAACAAGATTTGCATAGTGTATTTAATGTTGACATTCTATCACAGTGAGTTTACACTAATACTCTTCTATTTACAAGTTATCACATGTGAACCTGAGGACACAGGTTCCCTAAGTGGCTGAGTATCTCTAACAACTTGCCAAAAACCAGTGTTCATTCCCTGCTTGCAGCCAAACAGTCCTATGCCTCCTCACCTTGGCATTATCCATCATCAGAGTCCTCAACATCCTGACTGAGATCACTAAACCAGAAAGAAACCTGCTTTAGCAGGGTAGTGGACTTAATGTTCTCTAGAGGTCCTTTCCAACACCAACAATTCTGTGATTCTGTGAAATGGTTCTACGTTGTTTTTCAATCCTTCCTTCTGGATTAGTTTTCCACTGGCTTAGTGAAACAAGGCAGCCCAAGAAGTCAGACAAGCAGTGGAAGCAGAGGGAGGAGAGACCCTTTCAGTGGCTCTTGATCTGACTTGACTTCTGTGGAACCTCATGTTGTGTCTCCACATGGCCTGTGTCATTCGTAGGCTATGCTTTTTACTGAGGTGTTTTTTTCTTCCCTTTAAGAGCAATGACTTCTACTCTGTGGAAGGTGGGGTGGTGTTAATTGAGAAACTAATATATATCACACATATCTACACGTGTTTATATGAAATATACATCTAGATACCGAAATTTCTCACATTAAGAGACAGCTGTACTGTTATTCCTCTTAGAAAACAGTCCTGTACATAAACTTTGGATACAAGATAACACCGCTCTTCTTTCTTTTTTTTCCAAGCAGAATTATTAGTCGTATATGTGAGTTGGCATGTGGTGATGGGAGGGGATTGAAAGCAATCCTATATACCTTAAAATGCATAGCTGTAAATAATTATAATAGTCATTAGAAACAGATCTCCTGCAATTCATTCCTTCTCATGATGTTTGCTGCATCTAAGTGTGATGTGAATGTTGCATCATGACGTAGAATTCCCATTATCAGAGTTATGACATAGTGTATGCTTTCAGCAAGAAAAGTTCATAACAGATCATGCTTCAAACTTCATCCTGTTGTTTACAATCTGGAGAACAGCATGTCCAGACAGAAGCTCTTAAAATGTGACTGTCAAAATTTGCTGCTCATCTTCCCAACCATCATTTCTCATTGGCTGCTGGCTGATTAGTGCTTTAAGCTCAGCTGTTATGTCCTGCTTATAGTGTTCAAATACAACTGAGTAAATTCCAGAGGAAACTCGTGCCCTGTAATTAGTGCTTATTATCAGGGTGTGTAACTCACAATGTGTTTGCTTTCTTGTTTTGCAGTTCAGTCCTTCACCTTCACCCCTGCAGGTACTGTCCATTAGTCTGTCTCTTACCTCACCAGCACATCACTGCAAACATTAGCTAAGTGTTTATGAGGATGTGAGATATGCAGAGTTAAAACCAAATACAGGGAGAAAAACTTCTGCTGCCTATCTGTGATAAAAATGTAGTATTCATTCTCCTAGTGATTCCAGAGGAACATAAAATCTACCGCCATTATTTCTCTGTTACTATAATTCTGCATGCTTCCTACTCATGTAACTCCTCAAAATAATGCAATTTTGAAAGTGATTTGCAGGACAGATTTACTTGAACTAGCTTAACTTAAACAAGCATTGGTCATACATAATTGAATTTTTCTTTTAAAGCTCAAAAATGTATATCAAACATTTTTGAAAATCTAACTGGATAAATGGAACTTTAGCTGTTACTTGTATATATGTTAACCTTACTGTGAGATGTTCAGATCTTCAAGCAATCCAGTGCTTAACTTATGCACACGTTGCCTTTACAGTATTTTTGAAACTGAAACATTTGCTTTTTTTCCACCTCCCCAGTTCAAAGCTGAGATCCTAGTTTTCATACCTTTAACAGAGGTGGCATACGGTAGACCATTATCGTAAGCGTGATTAAAGATATGTGAAGAATAAACAAAGTGTGGCTGAAACAGCAGGTTGCAAACAGCTTAGTCAACATATGGATAGCCAGGAAAAATTGAGTATGCAATTAATAGTAATAATTAATGCAAATAGTTAGCTTCTGCTTTCGTACCTAGGCTTGAGATTCAAAAACTCAAAAATAATAATATCTCAGTCTTAGAGTCTAAAATGCTGGTAAATCTCAGCATTTTCCAGTGGAAGTCTGTCAAGCTTGTTGCGTGTAGCTTGGCCCCTCAGTTGGACTTACCAAAGCTGTCTCTTCTTCTGTCCCATCTGCCATCCGTGGGATAGAGGCAGCCTTCCTACTGCACT